ATATATATATATATATATATATATATATATATATATATATATAAACATAATAATAGTATAAATAAATAGTGTAATCCATAAAGACTTTGTACGGTGTTTTACAGCAGAGACTTAATAGGTTCTGGCGAAGGACGTGGGCTCTTCAATGTCCGGCTCGTTGTCCCCGCTGAGGTAACCCTGGGACTGATAAAGATATACAAGTGCATCCAGAGCATTGTAACAATATATCTTTACTTATATAATCGAATTACAATTACACATAATCCAAAAAAATGAACAAATTATGACAATAATAAATTAAACAGAACAAAAAATTTTTTTTAATTAATTACCGGCACGAGTTTTCAAGCTCACTTAGGTAATTAAATGATTATTTATTTTTAAATATTGTTTTCAATTACTTTATTGAAACTTTTTTTTTCAAGCTTGATTGTTTGTTTTTTCTGTCGTTAGTGAACTTATAAACTCGATTAAACAATAACTTCAAGTAATACAAGCTAACTAAATAATAATACAAAGCAAATTAATGGATGTTGATAATAATCATAATCAATAATAATAGTGATAATGTCGCAACTAATTTTAAACAATGCGTAGGTAACTTAAAATTCTGTACAATAAAAAATAAATCGCAGTGACGATGTTAGTGTGTGCATGAATATTCTGATGGGTACACGCAGTTTCAAATTAAACAAAGTAATAATAATAATAATAATTATTATTATTATTATAGTAATAGTAATAGTAATAAAAATAATAATTTTATATTATATCATTTTTTTTCTAAACTCTAGTCTACGGAAGACGAACAAAAAAAATAATAATTATTATTATTTTAATAGAGCGATAAAAATAATGATGATGAAATGAAAGTACAAAAAATGTGACGTTATTTTTTTTTTTTTTTTTTTTTACAATGCATAAAAATGTTATTAAACTCATCTAATACCACAAATATTTTTATGTATATATATTCTTCATTTTTTTTATCGAATGCAGTAACGAAAGAAACGAATAAAAATAATAATAATCATCAACGAAATATTGTTCATGAAAAATGAAAAATAAAATATTCGAAAAAATAGCACCAGCCTTCATGCGAGCCGAAACTCAATAAAAAGAAACAAAATAAAATGAGTAATAATAATAATAATAATAATAATAATAATAATAGTAATAGTAAATTATTGATCATAATAATATTAATTGTAATTAATAATGATAATGATAAGAATAAGAATGTCGCATTAAAGTGATGTGGCTAGTATAGGTAACGAAAAGATGGATAATTATCTGACTTTTCGTACCGTTGTGTTTTGATCCGCGTCTTTGCAATTACTGCAAATGTAGTCGTCTTCCTCGGCGAGCTCGGTTTTGTCGAGACCAACACAGTGCATATGGAACCACCCGTTACATCCACCATCACATTGTACCCAGTCGACTTCACGTCCTTGAAAAAAAATTTTTAACATTTAAATTAACAAGCAAGTAAAAAAAAAAAATGATAAAAAAAAATAAATTAACAAAAATTTACCATTTGGTCGGAGACAACTGTCGGCTGCGCAATCGTCTTCTTCGTCAGAGGTATCTTGCTTTGTTTTTTTCCTGTTTCCTCCTTTTTTTTTGGGCACATCTTCGCCTTCCTTTCGTTTGATCTACAACAATTCAAATAAAACTGAAATCGAGCTTACATTGTATCCCAGACCACAGTAATCTGTGTAGCCGGGTACCGTTAAAATCCAATTAAACAAGCAGAATTGCATTCCCTACCTTACGAGGTCCACGTTTCAGCGGACTTTGTGGCATTATTTTCTTATCTTTGTTATTTAACCCAGTAGCTGCAGCTGCAGCTCCAGCTCCAGCTCCAGCTCCACTTCCTCCAGTCGGTGTATTAGCACCTTTCTTCTTGATAATAGCGTTCGGAGTATTAGCTGGAGACTTTTCGTCAACTATTTTCTGCCGACTAATTGTTTTACCCATATCAAACTCGTCAGACTTTCTTTTTCTTCCACGTTTTTTAGCGTCTTTCATATCAGAATTGAAACTTGCCTGGACTTCTTCGAATGTCGCATACTTGCGTACTGTTGTGGGGCTATTTGTATGGCTGAGAATTCGCCAGATGTCTTGAGTCTCATCAAGAGCCACTTCAAGTAGATCACCTTCCATCATTAAGTCTTCAAGTCTTGTTCGGGCGCTTATCGACAAGGTTACTGGACTCTCGCCTCCTTGCGATTGTAATTTACGGTGTAATTTAGATACTAATAAAAACAAAATTAAAATTATTTAAAAATAAAATAAATATTTATTTAATAAATAAATACTTACTAAACGAATATGCATGTTCATTACTGTTGAAAGTACTGCATGAAGGTTCATCACCATCAAGAGTAACAACATCATCGTCATCATCCTGTAACATTTGAATAACAAATGAATATTTAAATAAATTCACATAATAATGCAAGTCTAGTGTAATAAAAATAATAATACTTACAGCAGCGCTGAGTACACTGTCATCAGAATGTACACCACTCAGTGGCGCAATAGCCTGTACTCGTTGATGTAATTCTGGATTATTAGCCGCCTTCTTGAGCTCGCTAGTTATTATTTTCTCGGTTTTCTCACGTGCTGCAGCTTCAACGAGTTTCTGTGACAATGCCGACAGTTTTGTGAGTACCGAGGATATTTCTTCAGTGGCTAGAGCACGCCGGGCACGATCCTGCCAGTTCATTGCGCGCTCAGTAAGACAAGTGAGTGCTTCACCCTCTGGTAGTCTAATGGGAATTTTTTGTAGACCCACCAGCAGTGCCAGAATCGATTCTAGACGTGGCCGACGCGATCTCAAACAACACGGACATAAAAATTTAATCTCCCGTGAGGATTGTACTTTACCCTTGTGTATTGTCTTTGGAAGAGGGACACAATTCGAATGGAACCAATCTTTACACAGCTCACACTGAAGCATTAAGCCAAAGCGTGACCTACGACAGACACAAAACCTGGAGTCGTCGGTGTTTCCTTTCTGCATATTTCTTTCCCTTAAACTCCTCATTGCGTCCATTTCACGCTGTTCTGCGAGCTTAAAAGCAGCAACAACGTTCGCGGAGTCACTGGAGTCATCGAGTTTAGTGTCACAGACATAGAGAGCACCAGCACTCTCGTCTCCCTTGTTCTTTTTGGTCTTCATTGCCTGAACACCGACACCAATTCGCGGAGATAGAGCTTCCATCAGAGTATAATGCGAGTTTTTACGTAAAAATGTTCTGGCTGTTCGCTCTTTCCAGGCCTTCGCCTGTGATAATGTTGACTCAAGGACTGAAAGTTGTTCTAAATGCAGAGGAATATTTTTTCCTTTACGTACAAGTTCATCCAGAGTATCATAATACGGAAAAATTTCACGACGTGCCTGAATTTCTTCGACAGTCTTGGTCCAGTTTTTGGCTTTGTTCAATATATCCTGCAGATTATCAAGACTAGGTAAATAGGCATCGATTTCATCGGCTTCCTGAATGAATTCCTCGATAACACTGATATTCTGACCATTCTTGGCTTGTAGATATCCTTTGGCTTTCTCCTCCCACTTGTCAATATTGACTACAAGCTGTTGCAATTTTGACAGCATATTTTCAACGGTTATATGGGGTGAAATCGTTCTACCTTGATCGATCAATTTAACGAGTTCTTCTCTTGTAATAGATTTTGATTCATCCAACATAGTTTTAACTTCATCCAGCCACTGTATCTGATGTAACTTTTGCTTCAATCTGACAAGCTGTGGTAGTTCTATGCAAATAGAATCACCAAAATCAATACACTTTTCAAGTTTATCTAAATCACAGTCATCACTCTGTGCTTCAAACTCCTCGGCGTCTTTCTGAAACTGGAGAACTTGATCCAATATATATTTAACACCGTCTGACTCTTTTAATTCACAGCATAAATTAGTTATTTCTTTGTAAAAAAGTGTCAACTCTTCGATTGTTAATTTGTACTTGGTATCAACAGTCTGTCGAGTTCGTGTCCGTTGTTTGTTGTTTAACAACTGTTGAGCGACACTGGCACACTTTTCGGCATCCTGAACAGCGGTGGTCAAAGCTGTCAACAGCTCACTGTCAGGAAACTTTTTGTTTTCAGCTTCACTCAGTAAATCCTTGAATTCACTCAACTCAATCTTCTCCCCCTTGGGGTCCATCGCTTCCTTCACTTTGATCACCCACGAGTCAAAAGACTCGGCTTTAAGTTTTAACTTTTGGAGCATTATTGGCAATTCATCAAGCGTGTAACGATATCTAAGGGTATGTTTCTCCGGTAAACAATCGCAAAGATTACGGAAGTGCCTCAGACAAACCAGCTGGTTAGTTTGACACGAACAAGTCACTGCGCTGAGAAAACATGTCGTCTTGCACGCTTCACACTGACGTTCATCGTCTGGTAATAATTCAAATGCCTCACGTTCAGCTTCTGTAACACCCTGCACAAAAAAAAAAAAATATTTTTTTAATCGTTAATTTTCATTTTAACAATCAAATTTAATGTTATTCATCCCGAAAAAAATTTATTTACTCAATATGTATAATACAATAAGTATTAACCTCAAAAATCGAACTTTATTAAATATCAAATATTGTTGTAATTATAATAAATTATAAATAGACCACTTGCAAGTTCCAACACAAGCACTCACTAAGATTACGTCTCATCTATTAATCAATATAACTTGTAGATGCTGCTAGACTTTTAAATTTCTGATTAAAACAAAAAGATAAAGTAAAAAAAACGCCAATATGTTTGTAATCACGTACATTAAAATCAATCACACTGTTTTAATGGGTCAATTAAAAAATAAATGAATGTCGAAGAAAAAAAAAGCAACACTAAACTTGCCGGTCAGCCTAATTAATAATAAAAAAATTTTTTAAATGTTCTTTTAGTTGATAACAGTAAATAAATAATAACTTGGTAAAACTAAATAATTAATTTACCTCGTGATATAAATAATAATATAATTTATGAGTAATGTGACTCGTCAAAATCAACTAAAATGGATGTATGCACATGTTAAATATTAAATGTATAAAGTTATCGAACACGAAATGACGACGGTGGGATTTAAAATGACTTTTTATATTATTTTTTTAATAACATAACCTCGTCATGACTGTTCATAAGCACTCTAAATACTGTGTGTTATAACATGTATGTACTTGCTCTTACCTTAAAGAATAAAAAAAAAATGAATACGTTATATAATTCCACAAGTAAAGCACAAATGATGGATACACAAGTGGTGCTAATAATCACAAGGTCAGCGCGACAATAACGTATGCAAATAAAATTTTAACGCCGGTTATTTAAAAACTACCTTTATATTTATTTATAAATATACTTTTTATTATTTTATTAGATTATATATATATATATTACGAGTTACTGTCGTACGAAATGGAGCAAATGATACGGATACATATATATATATATATATATATATATATGTATATATTGATATACGACGACACGATGACGACGACGTTGCTAGTCGGTAGAAAATTAATACGCGCCAACAACGAACAACGTTGCGAAGCTTTACTTGTTGAGAAGCATTTTAGTGTCCGGGACTTGATTTCTTTTTATTTTTTTTTTTTTTTTTATTTTTTTTGCTAGTAACGTGGACAACAGTGCTCTCAGCAACTCTCAACTAGTCGGACAAGTATTTGTACCTGTGTTAGTAAGTATGTGGATTAATACGTATAGTAAGTTTTGTATAGTTTGATAATAGAAACAGGCATTGTTGAGAGTGTGTTGGTAATGCGCGCGTCGAATGTTTGATTTAAAATGTGTATGGCGGTTACGAGGTGGGGAAGGGATCCACGAGTAGGGGAAGTAATCCGCGGTGGGAAAAATGGAAGCTAAAGGTGCGCGCGATGATATTTTTATTCAAAATGTATTGGTGGAAGCCACGAGCGGTAACAGTCGACCATTTTAAATGTAAACGAGACTTAATGTCATGCGTTCGTTGTGAGTGTTTATTTATTTATTTGGATGTGTGGGATATTATACTTGTTATTACATACACGGTTTAATGTTCATTCAACCGTGTGTGAGTGCGTATTTTATAATTAGCATTTATTTTAGATATAGATTATCGGTATATCTGATAACTAATTGACTAAGTAACACGTATTTATTGTTTTTAATGAATTTCATACTTTCAGGTCTGACTTTTTTTTTTTTTTATTTTAATACTCGACGATTATACGATGATAAGAGAATTAAATTATAAAACTTACCCATTCAAGCAAATTTTTTCTTAGCTTCTTCTCGTCGTCGACCATCGTCAACATATCTTGATAAGTAGCGGTCGCAACTCCAATGTCCAAGGAGTCTGGATCCAAAGACATTTTGCAAACTAACTCATCGTGTGAAAATACGCAAAATCTTCGTAAATTTGAGTAATGAGTAATACACTCTCGCCCAATTTTCAGCTAAAAATTTAAATAAATAATTAAAATTACTGTTATTTGTAATAAAATAAAATTATTAAAATCAATATTAATTCATACCCAATCGGCAGGAGCAAAATTGACAGCTTCGGCAAAATTATAGCCTTGATTGAAGCCTGCGTGATAAGCTCGCGGGAACGTAACAACAAATTCACCGGCATGTTGATCCGTTCGGAATACTGGGACACCTGGAAATTAAATCAATAGCACCGGCGTTTAATTAAATTATCCACTAAAAATTCTTTCAATCATTTTTATTCAATCAACGGATAGATAATAGAGTGCCATTTATTTATCTTAAAAAAAAATTACCTTCATTGGTTAAAATAGTCGGGTTCATAATAGTAACCAGCTGGTGGAGTAAGTCAGGCTGACTGTGAAACAGCTCTGGAGCAGCAGACTTCATGGAGTGCTCAAACTTTTCGGCCTCTGACCCAGGAACGCCATACCAAGTCTTTGGCTCTCCCCAATGCAGGTAATTGATCGAATAGCTCCAATGGTCCTCGTTGTGCCAGCAGAATGTAGCAAAGCACATACCGACATACATCCACGGGACTTTCATACCACTTATATCGGCATTAATGTGACCCAAAACACTGCCATGGAGAACTGGAAGATTATTTAAATTCCACGCAGACTCGGCGTACTCTTGATCGCAGGTGAATAAATTAACGCTGGTTTTTGTGGGGAATCCAGAGCCGTGATCCATAGTGTGAAGATCAGCTCCGTACTCGACAGTGACGTCTTCGTCAATGGAAGACACTATTCTCCAGAATTCCTTTTCGACAAGTGAGGTGGGTACCATGTGAACGGGCATGTTGAAGTAGTCACTTTTAAACTGATCAGCCATCTCGCCAAACTGTTGGAGAGTGTACTCCCGCTGGGCCTGTTCAAACCCGAAGGCTTCCATGGGCTTGGAAACTTCTTCGGCTACACATTTAGGACACCTCCAGTCGCCTTTGGGAATTTCTGTGAGTGGTGGAAGAAGACAGAACGTGTGATAACTATCGTCACAACCATCACACAACAGCATGCTCTCTTCCATGTCTCCTCGTCCGCAATTATGACAAATGTACTTGGCAAGTGGATCGTAATCATACGTATACTTTATTCCGCGTGTTTTGTTTGATTTTTTAGTCTCTTTGGTATTGTAGCCTGCCATTTTAGGTCCAGCTCCGTAAAACTGGAGTTTCTTGAGTTCCTTACTGTCTTTATCGTCTTCCATCTTAATTTCTTCCTTACATTCATTGTCCGAGTCGCATTCTTCTTTACAGTCTTCCTGCTTAATTGTAGCAACATCTTGCTTCTCATCTTGTCCCGTAAAACGTTTGGATCGACGAGAAAATTTAGCTGCTGGTGGTTTTATTTGTTGACGTGATATAATACCATGTGGCTTGTAATCACGATCTTTCTTCTCACTTGCTTCTATTTCCGGAGCTTCGATTTTCTGTTTAAATTAATTTAACCGTCATTAATATAAATGGATTACTTAAACCAATAGAATTACATTAATCTAAAAATACTTACAATATCACCGAGAGTTTTTCCTTGCTTAAAAACGTCAAAGGGATATAAAATTCTCTCATAGTGATTTTTTAAAATACTTCCGACACTTTTCCCCGAGGGATATCCTAATTTGTTCGCTATTTTCGCCCATCTTCGTTCTCGTCTCACCGTTTCAATTCCACCTATAATTAACGAATCAATTAGTCACTTGAACTTATAATAACTGACAATTGAATAAAACGAATTGAATTACAAACCTTCTTCGCTGACTATTTTGTGTAACGAATAAAGATCCAACGCTTTCTTTTCAACAAGTGGAATTTTTAATGAGGAACCCTGGAGCTCCCAAAATTTAGCAATTTGATCTAAAAAATTGAGTTTTATCCTTGTTTTAGCCTCCAGCTCATTTAGCCTCTGTATCCTCGGTACAAATTTAAATTTGTCGACGTCCACGGCAAATGGAGGTTGCCAATTCTATACAAAATAATTCAAAATGGTCGTTAGCAATGGGATATAAATTTCAGTTTTTATAAACATGTACCAAAATGAAAATAATATTAGTATCATGCATAGTAATGTGATACGAACACGCAATCTTTTATTATGACTTGTTTGTAAATAAACTAAAAACTTGGCAACAATAAACAATTATTAAAGTTTCAGGGCAATATTGCTCAATAATAATAATTACCAAATTAATATGTCCATGGACATTGTAGTTAAAAATTAAAATCAAATTATATATGGCCTAACAGAAAATCAATAGACCAAACAACAAATTGGAGCGCTATTAACTGTGTCTAATGCTTGTTTTTATTTATCTTCAGCTAATGATTTATTAGATAATAAAATAAAATAATTGCTAGAGATGAAATGAACGTTGCGAGCACATGTAAAGTTTCCATATGAATATGAAACGGCTTCTCTTTGTTACATCACATCTATAATGGCGTCCCAAAGTTTCTTTTCACCGTGCATTAGAGCGCCGATAAAAATGGCCATTTTCCCCCAAAACAAACACTATTTTTATTTTTTTAATAAACATTTTTTTTGTAACGTTTAATTAAAGTGACACAATACGCAAGGATCGTAATTTAAAATTATTTCACAAGGATCCCACGGAGAATATTGACATGCCCCGATAATTTATAGGATAAAAGACACGCTATCTTTTAAAAAAATCAATTTTCAAACTAAAGTCTGCTCTAAATAATTTTATCAATAATAAACATATTTTATCCATACATATTTAAAAAGTTACAATTAGAATCACGGATTATATTTTTTTTATTATCATTATTATTCTTCATTGTTCATTAGTAATGCTGATTAGTTTGTTTTAATTAGTATCAATGTTGAAATAAGTTTAATTACGAAATACTGAGAAAATTAGTTCGATTGTTGAAAATTAAAACTAAAGGATAGAATAATTAGAAAAAAATATTGGGGGAAAAAAAAAAAAAAAAAAAAATGTTTTGAATGACGTCTATATAAAGTATGAATAAAAGAAGAAGGGGATCGTAAATTGTCTTTATCGATTTGTTAGGATAAAGCCGCGAGGGAATTTTCCCGTCAATCCTTTTCTATTAGCTTTTAAATTTATAAATTCTATCGGAATTGTAAATTAAAAATCGATTTTAATTACAATAGTTATTACTTGGTAGCTTTTTTGTGACACAATTTATTTTAAGAATAAATTACGCTCTGATCATAAAATAAAGGTATATTTAATTTTCAGAGTCATTTGATATTTTTACTTTCCATATAATTATGAAATAAGCCAGATAGAAAAGGAAAGACCGAGAAAAAGTTTAAGAAAAGAGATAGAATCCGGAAGTAACAAATGGAAGCATGCCCTTTGCTGACATTGTTAATTTTGTCCCGGCCATTTTATATATCGAGAAAACTCTAAAGACTGCTGCGGGTGTACTTGGCCTAAGAGCCATTACCGTTACTCATAAATCCGAAACATTTAATTTTAAAAACTATTTTCCGACTAGCTTTACTCTAATTCCATCATACAAACTTAAAAATTACTCCAACTCTTTAAAAGTTGTTACATCATAAGAATAATTATCATAAAATATTTTTTTTTTTCGAAATGTGCATTTATATCAGTTCCTTGTCGATGTCTCACCTAACATTACCCCCACTTTCCTTTCTATTGTCACGTACCAACGCGATGGCCCGTTTGCACGATTTACCCTGATGTATTTTTTAAAAAATGCCAATTATAATTATTCTTATTTTTTTTTACTTCTACCAAGGATTCTACAAGTACTTCGGAGTACTTTTGTGTAGGTATAAACTCGTCCAACTTTCATTTAATAAAAAAAAGCCAAACACGGGAGAAGAAAGAGGACATTGACACGAAACGGCGAACTGACGAATATTTTTTTTTCTACACCCCTATATTCGATTGATTGGGTAACTGGCAAAAATTGTGACACAACAAAGGACATCCTGATCCACCTTGATGTAATCTAACGCGGGACACGAACTTAAAATTAAAAACAATGGGCAAAAAACATGTGACGGAAATAATTAGTAAATTAAATAAAGACACTCACAGGCGGTGGTTTTATTTTGCATATCCCGGCTTTTTCAGCAATAGGACGAATCTTGGCGATGTAACCCAGCGGATCGAGGAACTCCTCGGCTGTTGGCTCGAAGACAGGGGCTTCAGGAGGTGCACCGAACTCAAAGTCGGAATCGGCAGCCCCGCAGCCAGAACTTTTCTCGCCCATCATGTTCTTCATGTAAGCAGCAGTCCTGCTGTATCTTGAGTTTTCAAAATCATTTACCTTGGACACCATGTCTCGTCCTATTTAGTGCACGTGACGATGCACGACGAGAACTCAAAATTCGACGATTATTAGCAGCCACGACGACGCCAACTTAGATGGATCCTACGCAGCTACGCACCAGCCACTAAAATCCCACAACACTTGAAATAATAATGATAATTTAAATAATTTTTTTTTTTTTTTTTTTTTTTTTTTTTTTTTTTAAAGAATTATTGACGAAAAAAAAAAAATGAGTATAGTTTAACAAAATTGAAAAACTATCGCGTAATGTCTGTAGTTATTATTATTATTATTATTATAAATCACTGTCACGCCTCTCTCTACCTTATTTATTATTATTCTATATCTGTAGTATCAGTTTTTAATAAATCCAATGATAAATAATATATCATTTGTAAAGTAAAAAATCACTCTGGATCCAATTCACTGTTCTTTCGACACTTTCCCCGTCCTGCCATCATTACGATCATGTCCGTGACGATGTCGTTGTTTTGTCGTAAGTTTTATACAATCAGATATATATTTATTTTACATGCAGAATAATGTCGAATGGAGCTTTAGATGTTGATGGTAATTTATATCAACGTTTGCTGTAGTAAGTAGTACTGACGATGCTCGTAGAGTAATGTAGAAACAAATTATTGACAGGAACACAAGTAATGGTACTTTTTATTTCTGTGAGACTCTGAGCGCCGTCGAAATTACAAAATTACCAATCCCAGCACCTGCTATCAGTATAATAGTACTACAATAAATAATTATTTGTACTTTTAAAAGTACACTACGAAAGACGGTAATGAGTTAGAGTATGATGAGATCCGTTCGAAGACGACGTGGGTCGAGGATGGCTACCAAGACGCAAGGTACTAACGGACAAACAACACTACTGACTAGTCCACTAATCCACAATGCTCCTTGCTTCTCACTCGAATATATACACCACACACTAGTCACTAGTTTTCGGTTATAGTATATCGTATGTACCTGCAAATATATATATTATATAAATATATGCTCTATCAGTGTAGGATGTGTTTGTTCTCATGTATATAAGTGTATTGGTGTAGTTGATCTCGTGTATGTCGCGTTCGCGCACGGGCCACTGCCAGGCTGCTGCTGCTTCTGCTCTCTGCAGATTTTATTCCTCTCCCTTCGCTGCCCCTATCACATGGTTCCTACTCGTACTAATATTTTATTCGTGTTGGTGAATTTACCTTTACGGATGATATTCCCTTTAATTTTATGTGAAGAACGTTCGATATGCCGCCGTACGGGCAAATATGGAATTACCATATTCAAAATTTATTTTACCCATTATTATTATAAATTGTCATTACTATTTATTACTCTCTGTAGATTCTATTAAATCTAAAGTCACAAAACCATCTTATTACTTTTCAAAATTATAGTTTATTTATTTAAAAAAAATTTTTTTTTCACTTATGTCTTTGTAAATTTTTTTAAACTGTCATTTTAAATGTCATTGATTAAAAATCATGAAAACATTGCGCAAAACTCTGATAATTCATATCAACACAGTAATTCATGTTAATTTTTAATTATTAATTAATAATTTATTAACAAACACATTGTCGAATTTATAATCGATTAAAGTGGCGCTGCTGACAGTTGGATTCGGAAATGTTCGAGAGTTCCGGAGATTTACGGAAACTTGCGATTGGTCAGAGAAAGTTAACATGGCGACGCAATTGACCAATGAAAAAATTAAAAAACTTACCAATTAATTTTTAATTTCTTTTGTTGGCAATTCCAAAACACTAGATCTAGGAAATATTTTTGGTCACATTGCTGAGAATTAGACTCAGTTCACTCTTGTGTGGTTTTAGTTCACGTCTGGAGTAAAAATGCGTCTTGTGAGTATTTATTACATAATTATTAATAAAAATATATTTTTTAATAACAATTATTGATTATTCTGTCAAAAAAAAAAAAATTAACCTTTAATATGTCATTGATGATGAAAGGAATTTTTTTAATGATTGCGCAAATCTGTCATATTTATTGATTTACTCATTGAGATATTTGATAATAATATATAAATAATTTTTTCAGACTCAAATTTTGCGTTCTGGAGAAGGGTTTGGCACTTTGGCCAAAATCCGAGGTATTGTCTACTTCAGACTCAGTCCTTTTGAGCAGAAGGCTTTTGCTGGTGCAATCAGCCATGGAGTTCCTAACATGCTTCGTAGATTCCGTGAGAATGTACTTCGTGTCTCTCCACGTATGTATTTTTATGATAAAATAATTTTTCCAATGAAATTGTGTAACAATTTTAATTTTTGTTACAGCAATTGCCATCTACTACTTGATTTACTCATGGGCTCTTCAAGAACACGAACGTGTTGTCAGAAAGAAACCTGGTGACTTTGCTGATGATGTATAAATATATAAATAATATAAGTTAAAAAAATGCTAGTTAATTAAAATTCACATTTACAATTAAATAATTAACTTGGTTAAAATAAGATACATATTTATTTTATTTCTTCAATAATAAATAGTCAAAAAATAAACATGTAGAGCTCAATGCTCCAATAAATATAATTTTAAATTACTTTAGTTACTCAGCATTCACCAGCACGGTTATTTCATAAGCAATCAAATTTTTTGCGTTAAATTTTTGTGTCAGCTCTGATTTTATTTATGGATATTTCTTCCTGCTAAAATTCTTCACGCTCGACGATCACGACGTCTTCATTATTTATTTTTAATCTACGCCTCAGCTTTTCATCAATGTAAAATATTTTTTTTTAATAATTAAATGTCTTAATCAACGCTTAGGTAATATTTGTCAAAGTTTAATTAACTTGTTAAGATAAAAAATATTAATAGAATGCTTCAGCGACTGGGTGAATATTTAAAAAAAATAAAAATTCAGGGTTGAAAAAAAATATGAGCAATTGGGCTGAAAAAAAAAAAAAAAAAAACCTAGGTACACGATAAAAAAAATAAAATAGTTTTAATTCATACGCACCTGAATAAGTGACCGATTCGGAGCCTCGGATCCGATTTAATGCCTGGTAAGTGGGAGTGAAATCCTACCAATCGCGGTCGCGTAATAGAAAGTCAGCGTCTGAAAGGTAGAAGAGACGACCTCAGGTAGTAGCTCAGGTATTTCCAGTCGAGGATGAGTGCGACTTGAGCACAAGTTCTATTCAAAGTATAATATAATATAGTAAAAAATAAAAAACACTTGTGTGCATACAAGTATGCGAGTCTTGTAAATATATACATATAGGTAAGTAATAAACAATTACGTGTGTGTCTTAAACTAAGTATTCTTCATTAAAGTACTGTGCAAGTGCCGGGAACCAATAATAATAATAATAATAATAATAATAATAATGATAAAATTTGAGTGGTTTAGAATTAAAAGCTGATTTGAAATTATTTAAAATTAAAAAAATAAGTAAAGTAAATTAGTTTTTAAGTAAATAAGAGTTATCTTCAGACACTTATCAAGATATTTATGAGGTGGATACACAAGTAGAAAATTGCTTAGTTTGTTTTATCAAATATGAAGCAACTCTCTCGCTAATGACGTACAATTGATTTGAAACGGAAGTCTGGTTTAATACAAGCCAGGATGTGTGGATTTTTAGTTGATGTGGCGTTCTCCATACTTGACGATATTCCAGCATGCACTTTTTTGCATTTATTTATTATTTACTAGCCTATTTATCAAGAATCGGTAGCAAGGTGTAGCAGACTTGACTCGAGAATTCTAATAATCATTCTTCAAACGGTTACTTTCTTGACGTAAAGTCTTGGAATTTATGTTAATGCAGTGAACTCCCGATTATTTTCTCTGGGCAGACCAACACCAGCACCATTAACTACTCCGTGTTGTGTGTCCTTGTTCATGGGACCATGGGCATGGGATTATTACGCTCGATAAAAAAAGATACCAATAAAGCCAGATGTTTCCTGTGTGATTTTACATATTACATGTTAAAACTCCGATCTTTACAACTACTAAATATTAATTTTAAATTTAATATCCAGTTTGTATTACAAGAGATAGTATTCAATGCATTAGATATTATCTGTCTTGTCTATTTCACTATTTAAATTTATCGTTTTATTGTTTTGTTACAACTCTAGTAGGCAGAGGTGTTGCTTGCCGATATTCCATATAAATAATTGTTATTGCTTTAAATCCCAGACTGAGATTGGTATTTTAAATCGACAGAGGATATTATTCATTTAAATTCTCAGCTAAGATTTATTTGATGACATGTGATAGCGCTGAAATATCAAACGTTATAAGTGACGGTAAGAATTCATAATTGCCACGTTCCATTCGAATTAACGGTATCTTTAACATATACTTGAGGTTGCATACCATATGAATACTTTTCCTGCAAAAAAACTTGATGCTCCGAGTATTTTTATTCAAATAAACTCCACGTGTGGTTACTATCAAAATAATTATACTTAAATAATATTTTTATGTTATTGTTATTATCTTAACAGTAACACGTATTAAATTAAGTGAATTGTCATGTGAGATCGCGTGTTTACTTATTAGTTGACAGACTCGGTAAGATTCTCGCAAACACTCGATACCATATATAAATAAAATCATAAAAATATATCTTGATCGGTAGTCATCGTATCAAGATAAATATACATTCATTTTATCGATATATTTCTTCCTCATGTAACAATATTACCTTGCAAACGCAGCTGGGTATATCTTCTTTCAATCAATTTTTAACGTCACGTCCCACTATATTGAATTATTTATTCTAAGCATGACTCTTATTTCAATACAATTGTCATTTTAAAATGAAAATATTTTTTTACTCCTTACAAACACTTTTCTTTTAACATTTTTATCGGTAAATTAAAAAAAAAAAAAAACCTTCGTGGAATAGCGATAAGATATTATTTTTTACCTGAATCATTAAAAAGTAAGAAAAAAAAATTCTTTATCGATTTCAATTGTTTTAAGTAATTTTTATATTTAATAAATATCTATTACTTAGCTTGATGAAAAAAAATAAAAAAAGCTTTTTAATTGATCGATACTAAATTAATTAATTAGTGTTATAAATTTAGCCGTTAATTCAATTCTAAAAATCACTTAAATTTTTTATTAAAGACTTTGATTGACCTGTGACTATTTTTATCAATCTAAAGTGTAATTAAAGATACTTTTTTTGTAATTTAATAATGCAAACTGTTGGTATAATTTATTAAAATGAATTTGTTTTCTTTTTCACGGGCGCTGACTGGACAGCGTAGGTAGTTATTAATTAAAAAGTAATAAGAATAATAACCAAGTTCAGCGTACGTATGATAAATAAAAATTATGAATGAATAGAGTTTGTAATAAATGTATCATGTTAAAAGTACATAAAGATACACAGGTAATCAGGTGCGATATATATGGTCAGTTTCCGCGTCATTAATAACGATTCACCGCGGGCATCTCGACTGGTTTGATTCAAACGTTACCCATCGCGTTTTCTATGATAATTGATAAGTATTCGATAATAAATTAAAACCCCTTTTTACTGTTAAAACCTGCATAATATAAAAGAAAATATTCGTGTCACGCGATTTCCATTTCTACATCACAACACATCATAGACTGCTCATTTTTTTACTCTACCCGCACAACCTTATCATTTTAATGTACCGTAACTTGAATGTAGTATAATACGGCTAGTTCAGCGCAAAATACCGGGATTTTTTCCTTACCCGGCCCCCTTTTTCCCTTATTGCTACTTAACTCTTTGTACTGGCGTTCCGGTACATTTTTTCTGCTTTATTTTTATTTTAAATTCACCATTCATATCCAGTTTAATTGTATACACTCTGTTCAATCGGTTTTGATAATTACATTGCTCTGATAGTAATATTATTGTGTACCTTTTCGTGGGAGTTGATTTTATTCACCCCTTAATTATTTTATTGATGGATACAGTTGTTTGAATAAATGAATAAATAAATTGTTTAATCATGAGAGTGGAATAAATAAAATGAAAAGTAATAAATAATATAATTGAAGTTGAGATGAGAATCTCTCGAGTAGCATTCTTAAGAAGAGGTCGTGCTCTCTCCTCTCATCTCTTGTTCTCATTTTCTCGATAACTTCTTTTCTCTTTTCCTCATATTAAACATATTAAGCTGCATCGAGAGAATTTTTTACTTAACACTCCAAGTCTTTGATTAAAAGTTCATTCACTAAAGAAATAAATAAATTCTTGGGATATTTCATTGCTATTATATCAACAAAAAAATCAAACGATAAAAATAATAATAACATATAAATATTTATTCATCACTTTTGATCAAGGAGTGGTAGATAATATAAAATCATGTCAAGGATTCTTGATGTGATATAATTCAAAATAATAAGTTTAAGTACGTTCAGCTGGAAAAGTTTATGACATTTCTTCTTTCGCGGATCTATCGAGACAATTCAAGACAATATTTACTTAACGAAAATAAATTTAGCAATAAAAAATACATAATGGTGTCCTAAATTCTTTAGCTCACTGAGGGTACGAGTACGTTCAAGGACGTAATAAACAAGAAGGTATTACACGACACATTCCATAATTTAATATTTTTTTTGCTCAACTTGGGCGTGTCGAGTCGCGCATTCATAAGTAATTTCACGCGGTTCTCTTCACTCTTCTTACACAACTAAAGGTACTATACCATATCCAACTTCCAACTTTTAATATCATATATTCATGCATGTGTATAAATGTATAAAATAAAAAAATACTCTTACATCAAGTTTACAAGCCGCAAAGTCCTCTTTAAACATCTTAAATACATAAAAGCTCATAAATATGACAACTATTCTTAATATCTTTAAAATACTATCATTAAATTAAATTTATTAAATAAATTATACTTTCTAAATTATAATTACAATTTCCGAATTATATATATCTTAAAAAAAAAAAAAAAAAAAAAAAAAAAAAAAAAATTGCTCAATATTTAACAAGTTACTTTTTATAACTTGTAACAATTGCTCAAGGTGTATCACAACAATCAGCAAAGAATAGCTGAGGAAATTAATGCAAAGACGGGTTGACGTATCGCGTGGATGGTTAATATATGTTTATATAAATTTATTAATACATATGAAGGCTCGAAACGAAATCCTTGGATGCATCGAATGCGAAATGGCGCGCACGGATAGGCGTAACGGTCGATGAACTGCGAGTGTGGTAACTCTTCTCTAATTATAGTTATGGGGTTCCCAAGTCCTCACTCTACATCTACATATCTATGTATTTATATCTACCTATAATGCATAGAGCAGTACACATTGGTTGCACCGACCCGTACAGTATACAAATATGCAGCGTGCATAATAACAATAACCATCCAAGTCCACGTCCAACTTTCTTTTATTATATCCGGAAGATCTTTCTTTAACTGCAACTGACGACTTACTAGCCTTGAAGACCTCAAGGTTACTGCCAATCAAAAGCGCATCCCTTATCTGGAAAAAAGACACACGTATTATACTATAATATAATACTACCGAGTGACGATTACTCAAGGAAGAAATAAAATATAACAAGAAAGAAATGCTAAGCTGGCAATAAACAAATGTTTACTTTCGATAAACTCCTCAAACATTATTTAATTATCATTATTATTATTATCAGCTGTAACTTAAATATCACTTATCATCGCAGAACGATCTAATCGTTAAAGCTTTTAGCGTTTACTCACGTCTAATCTAAAATGAATTAAAACTGCCTTGGGCTCACTACTTATACATACAACCATAGTTATATGTCAATAAATACATATTGCACCGTGGTGTTGTACATGATATTCAGATATATTCTCGTTTAAATGTTTTCCGTTTACTTCTCAAGTATAATAGTAGGTGTGTTACATACTTTTATGGGTCAGCGATCGGCATCCCCGATCATTTTTTCCCTTTTAAGTCCATACGTAATTGAAGAATGTTGAGAATATTTTAACTCGGTTTATCTGCTACAGAATTCTGCAACAATAAAAAAAATAGTTAAAATAAAAAACGCTGCGTAAAATATAATTAGACTGCTGGCTGAAGACATGTTAATTATTTTAATAGCCTAATTGTTTTCCCCGTCTATTTGCAACTCAGGAAGACAAGTTTAACTTAAAGAATGACACAGTTAGTCTATTATATTGTCTTTAAATGTTATATAATTGTCACGACAATTGGATCCAATGTTACCGTCCAATAATTTCATCACTCACTTTCTCTTAACTTCCGGTGACAGTCGATGCCGATACCTAATTTTTATTTAACTAGCTATTTACTGGTAGTTATTAATCTCTTAAGTGAAAATATTTATCGATAGTTGATCAATGGCTGGCATACATCGATATTTCACTCCTGACTGGCAACTGCAATACATAAATGCTGAATGTTAAATGTATATTATATTGCAACGACCTTTCATTTAAAATGCTACCAGCGTAGGCTAAAATGACATTACGTGTACTTTATGGCTCATGTACGAACAGAAGAGTTCAACAGCAGTATCAAGCGATTCATCGCTTTTTCTTTCGAACAAAATTTACAAAAAGGTGTACAATAATACCCATGTGAAAATGAATCACCGTACTCGGTGGAGTAACCAATTTGTGGTTTAGCTTACTCACGTTTGTTTGTCACTCTTATTCTTCTTAGTCTTCTCTGTTTTGCTTCAGTGATCAAAAGTTTACGTGTTAAAATAATGGTATTTATATTTTCACTTTTATTCTCATTTGAACGAGTAAAAAAAAATTGTTTTGTGTAATGAACATCCTACACAACGCAAGTACAATACTTGATTCAATAGTTGATGAACTCTTGACGTTAAATCATCATACCTTATACGAAAACATCTTGCATGATTCATCGTACATCATCAACATTTACATTTTAAATAAAAAATAATTCGTTACATGTCGTGGCGTATAATGATCCTGTAATCAAGTGTTTAATTTATTATTTTTTATTAACCACTTGTTTATTATTATTATTATTATTAGTTATTGCATATAGTATGGAACATTATCATTATAAATGAAATAAGTTTTCGCTTTGAAAAATGCACAATAGCAATTTAAATATTTTATTGCGTGTAATGATGGAAAACGGTATTTGTTTTTCAATAAAAACTTTCTAATATTAAAAACACGTAAGATGACTATTAGCTCAGCTCAAGTTAATTTAAATGTCGATAGAAAAATCCGGTAATTGTTTCACAATATGCATATAAATATTTTTTATAAATTTTAATTGTCTATTTTAAGTTTTGTTGCTCAATTTGTTTCAGCAATAATAATATATATAAAGTTAAGTACTTTCATTGAGTATATGTGCATAATGATAAGTATATACAAGGATTTAAATCTTTATGAGAGAAGCGAGTTAGTGAAACTTCCCTAGATGGATCTCAGACATATTTCAGTGACATTTAAGAGTCAAGTAGACATTTCCAAGTCCTTGAATGCACTTGCTATTTTTATATTAAATAATTGCTGTGCAAATATTCCCGGTTGAATTATTAACTATAAAAAAATAGTAAATTAAATTAAATGAGATATTTTATTTGTTAAATCGAATAAAATTCCTTGAGATGAGCAAATGCCGTTATCCTGCAGTTCGTTGCCCGTCTCATGCACTTCTCATGCGACTTATATTCATCTTACTTTTATTTTTATTCTTATTACACATATATATTGTGATCCGAGTATCGAGATAAAGTATATCTTCCAAAAGCCCTTGCTAAGAGTCCATTCTAAAGAATCTGTCTCATAACACTATGTATATGCCTGCATAATATATAAAATATAATGATAAATGTATGTTGTACACCAGAAAAAAAAAAAAATCTCGACGGAGATATAAAGTTTCACTTGACTGGTGGATGATCAATTGACTCGACTTGAGTGCCCCGTGATTCCACGATGAGAAAGTTGGACGTGATCGACTAATGTTGACAATAAATAATATTATTTTTAAATAAATTTCATTCATCTTTTAAATAAAGTCATCGGAGAAATACTATCACGGAAGACATTGCCAATCGAGGGAAGAAAAAACTTGTTAATGACAATAAAAATAATAAAACATTTCTATAAATGGAAGTAATATAGGATTTTAAAGTACAAGGGGCAAATTAGGCCGATTGGAATTTCATTTCAACATAAAGTAGTTTAGCTTTCCTGTCACCAAGTACGGAGCTCTCGGGTTGGGTTTTGTTGTATTGATGGTCTTGCTTACATTTGCCGGATGCGACATGTCGCGATGAGCAAGAACAGCCGGACATTATATTACTTACTACCGCTCAAGCTACCAACTTCGTTGTCCAGACTAACTTTGTTCTTTAAAAAAAAATTATGTCATTCTTTTTAATTTAATTTCAAGTACATATTAATTATCTAAACAACTTTATTTTGCAATTAACAGATAAACAAAGATGCCTTACTACAACAGTGGCCACAGTTCCTCACCCTATTCCAAAGGTAATTAATATTTGTTTAATTTAACGAAAAAAATTACCATAATATTTTCTCTCATTTAATAAAATCGCGGATAATTGGCTAGCAATAAAAAGTTTAGCAATAAATTACAATAAATTATAATTTATTTACAAAGATGTGCCGAGTGGACCATCGAATTCATCTGGAAGTCGAAGTGGCGGAACGGAGCCGACCTACATGATGGAGCACTTGGCCACTTTCACAGTCACTAAAGACACCGGAATAGTCTACCCGGCTGACGGTATGCGTCGTCTTCTTCAGTTGGAGAAGAGCAATGGTATCTGGAGCCAAAAAATGCAGCTACGTCTAGAGCGTAATTGGGTTTTAATAATGGACAACGAAACCGGGGTATTTATTAAAACAATAATTATCATTATCTTTATGGGCAATTACATTGAATAAGATAATTAATTTATTTCAGGCGGTGATGGAACGATTTCCAGCAGCCTTGATCCAAGAACCAACGGCCTTTACGTCACGAGACCCGATGGAGATGTACAACAACATTCTGGTGTTCACCGTGGGAGATGACAGCGGTTCTGGGCAGCGCGCAGAGATGCATATCTTCCAGTGCCAAAGTATATCCGCCCAGGACTTGGTCGAGGATTTAAAGATGCTACAAATGGGAAAATTAGTCCCTGGAGGTTCGCCACGTGGTCCAAGAGGACAGATACCTCCTCCACCGGCTCTACCGCCTCCAGAACCACCGCTCAATGGCGTTAATGTTCGTGAGCAGGTCTCAGCATTCAATGCCAATGGTATTTCTTCTTTTTATTAAAAAATTTATCAATTACTTGACATACTAATTGAAAAAAAATTTTTTAAGGTCCAAATGATCGCGAAGAAAACAACGATGAAGTATCATCGACATCGTCTGAAAAGTACGAGCGCGATGTGACGATTCTCAACCACTGTTTCGACGACATAGAAAAATTCATTGCGCGACTACAACACGCAGCAGCAGCCTCTCGCGAACTGGAAAGAAGACGTCGCAACCGCAAGAGCAAGAAGCGGAATTTAGGCGACGGAATGTTGACCATGCGAGCAAAGCCACCTCCAGAAATAGAGTTCATTGACATTTTTCAGAAATTCAAGCTGTCATTCAACTTACTGGCCAAGTTAAAAGCTCATATTCACGATCCAAACGCTCCAGAGCTAGTACATTTCCTTTTTACACCTCTGGCGCTGATCGTCGATGCCTCTCACGATACCAACTACGACACGAATTTGCCCAGCAAAGTGGTGTCGCCATTGCTGACCCGCGAGGCGGTCAATTTGCTGATAAACTGTGTCACCAGCAAGGAAACGGAGCTGTGGCACTCGCTGGGCGACACTTGGTTGGTCCCTCGCGATCAGTGGAAAGGCCACGTCCCGCCGTACCACCCGATCTTCATGGACGGCTGGTCCCCGGAGTATCCCATTCCAGAAGACCGCGACCACGATCATCTGGCCTCGCTGCTCAATGCAGACAAGCAGAAGCGCGACGAGATTCCCGAGCAGCAGACGGATAATTATTACAATCATCGCGACGTCGAAGAGTCTCACTACAGCAGCGACTACCTGGAGTACGAGAGCCGCGAGGAGCGTGGCAACGATTACTTCGACAGAAATTACGGCCCTGGGTCGGAGCTCTACAGCAGAGAAGACCGGGAAAGAGTCGATCAGACGCGAGCTCACAGCGACATTTCTGTCGACTCGATTGAACGCGGACCCCGCGGAACTCCCGCGACTGATCGCGCTCAGGAGGCTTGGCTCGATGACTTGCTGGCCAAGGGGGCCAAAATTGTCCAGGTCACTTACCCGCGCACCGCAAATAATGACAAGGAGTTGACTGTGGTCAGGGGAGAGTATCTGGAGGTCCTGGATGACACCAGGAATTGGTGGAAGGCCAGGAATTCCAGGGGACAGGTCGCTCATGTTCCTCACACGATTGTCGCTCCACATAATCAAGCCCACGCTGGGGATAATGATGTCTTTAACAACCCGCTCTACACCTCGAGATACCAGAGACAAGGACACGGTTATAATTATGAGGTCAGTTTAGATTTGAATAATTTTAATCCGTTATTATTAGCAGAATTGTTTTTATGAATAGAATGTCAAAGATCATTGTTTTGCTTGACATTTACTTGGCATTTGAACGGCTAATTTGTGAAAGATAACAACTCGAGATTAATTGTTGTTAATAATTTAATTTATGATTTATGTTTTAGGATTCAGAGATTGAAGGAACTAGTACTAGTCCTGGACCGGAAGCGACTCACAGACCTCACACTATTCCACCACCTGCACCTGCCGACTGGGTGCGAAAAGAACGTCTGGGTAAAAAAGGTGAATTTCGATATTTTTAAGTCCCTTTTAATGAACAAATTTTATTTTTAAATTACTACAGCTTAATTTAAGATTAGAAAATTATTAAAACTGGAATATATTTTATTACATATATATATATATATATTATAAATTAAGTGTTTTTTTAATCAGTGTTTATTATTAAAATATTAATTATAATTTTGTAAGTAGTATTTATCAATCAACTAACCAAATTTAGTCGATAAAACTACTTTAAAACTTACATAATTATTTTTAAATAATTAACAACCCAGTAAATTTGTTTAAAAATATTTTGATAGTTTCGTAAATAAACGGCGAAATATTGAAATATTTTTTCAGCATTTACTAATAATTATAATAATATATATAAAATAATTTTATAAGTATGTCTTGTCTCTGTATTGTCTGGGATGTATTTGTTTGCAACAAATTAATGTGCTTTGTATTTGTACTTGTACTTTAAATTAAAACGATCTATGAATTAATTATTACGAAAAATTAAAAATTGTGTCTTCCAGTGGGTAAAAAAAATATATAGACACCGTGGGACTGGTTTAATGAATTTATAATTGTGAAATCATTGTTACAAAGACTTAAATGATAAAGGTACAGTTGAAAGTCGGTTTCACAACGTCCTGGGTGATTGAGAGTTAAAAAAAAATTAATTTCGGATAATTTAAGAAATAATATAAATACAAGCGACTTTGTCTGCAGGACAGGGATATTAAATCCGTCCAGTATTTCTATTGTAATTTATGTAAATCGTATATTTTTTAATTAATATCAATAAATGTATTCCAACATATAAACATATAAGTTGTCTGCTTTGTCTTTGTTTTGTGAGCTTTTAATTGGGGAGTCTTTAGCTTGTTGTTTAAATGTGTCCGTATTACCCTCTACTTATTTTTTGAGCTTTACAGCTTTTTTCGCTTCCTGTTCTTGTTTAAACGCTATCTTCATCAGAGGTACGCATAAAATAATTATTATTCTGGGTGATTATTAATTAATGGCTTATTTTTTTTTAATTGTTCATACTTTTGATTTGTAGAAGAGCCTAAAGAAGAAAAGAAGAAACAAAAAACCCATGGAATAGTTCCTCCCCCTCCACCATTACCTTCTCCTTCAGCGCCGGAAGTAAGTTCAATCAGTTCCAGCAAAAGTGGGACTTTGAAAAGTAATTCTTCTTACACTGAAGGTATGATTATTATTCTAAAACTTTATTTTGATTGGTAAAACAATTAATGATAAATATTTTTAAAGAAAACGGTAAAGACCAAATGCACAAAGAGTTGAAGTATGTGTTAACACTTTTCCGGGACAAGAAGAAACATCTCGACGTTGTAAAGACACCTGAAATTTTTATTGATCAGGAATCAATGCCCAGCGAAGTTCAGAACTGGCTTTCTGCTAAAGGTTTCTCTGATAAGTGAGTATTTTTTTTTTTTGTTAATTAATAATGGCAGTTATTGGCTTATATTTCAACAGAATATGCAAGCAGTTAAAAGACATGACTGGCTCAGAGTTATTCAGTCTAACGAAAAGACAATTGGAACAGTACTGCGGTCTAGTTGAAGGAAGAAGATTAGATGGGCAGTTAACGCTTTCGCGAAATGCCTCAGGCGTAAGTATCTCCGGAATTCCTGTAAAAAAAATTGAATTTTAGTATTATTTATCGTCGAAATTTTATATTTTAGTATCACACAGCAAGAACTCATGAATTGAAACAAATACTCGAGAAAGCAAGGAAGAAAGTTGAAGAAACTAGCGTTGAAGACTAGGATCCTCTAAATAAATATTTTTATAAGATTATTTTCTTAAAGACACAAGACTGGTGTCAGGAATATATATATATTATATATATTTGTTGATTAGTTGTAATTATAATTCTAGTATAAAATAAATAAACTCATGCGGTAGTTATTGATAATTATAATTGTATGTTAATATATTTATTAAAAGCAATCACATACATATTTATAACAGATATAAATAAATGTACTCTAAAGTTGTATCGTTAAGTATATGGATTCAACTGTTAATATAAATATGTTTATTAATAATTAATAATAATGTATTGTTAATATTAAATATTAATTTGTAAACAGATGTGAACTCAGCGCAAGCTACCTTAAAAGAAGAAATTCTCACCATTTGCATTCTCATATCCTTTATTGGTATGCGTAGACCTTGTAATTTATTTAAAAGTACAATAAATTGCTTAAACGCAAACGAAACATTAATCAGGCACCGTCAATTCTTACGCGAGTTTATTTACTAAATAATTAATACAAAATATTTTTTTTCCAAGTATAAATAAATTTAAAATGCGATCGCGAATCGGTAGAAAAGTTTAACTACTTTTAGTTGCCTTCTTATTGTTATTGTTACTATTTATCATTATTATAATTATTATTATTATTTATTTTATTATTGTTTTGGTTTAATACATTCAAGGTTCGAGTGATATATATTTGGAGTAAAATACCCACAGTGACTGCAGCCGAATTCGATAATCCGACTTGCAGAAAAAATATAAATAATAAAGTGGATTTACACTGCACAACATTTACAATTAATTAATAATGTTTATAAGTATAGAAAAAAATTAATTAAACACCGATATGTCGATGGTAAAAATTCTTGGCTGTTTCTTTTAAATATTCATTTCATTTATTTTTTATTATAAAATTGTTTTTGAAATTTAATGACAATAAAAATGTATGCAGCGTAATCCACTTATTTTATACATCCGTATGACGTATTAACATATGTAAAAATTTATTATAAATATCTTTGATTATCCTTTAATATTTTATTTATAACTAAATATTCAACAATAAATATTTAGTTATAATATATTTTAATTGAAAAAAGTTATCTTATTTATTATTTCGCAAGTTGAACCATTTATACTTTCGCGTATTTAATTACGATAAATACCAACAACAAATAAAACAAATAAACTATTTAATAAATTTTTAAAAACATCAAAGAAAAAAAGTTCAATTGCAACGAGCACAACAATTAATTTTATTATTGTAGAGATCAATTTTAATATATAACATACTTTTATAATAATAATAATAATAATAATAATAATAATTAAACAAATAAATTTGATTCAATTGTGCGTTCGTCTCATATTTAATGAACGCGAAACAAAGCTTAAATTAATATCTTTTTTAAAACTTTAATATTTATTTTCACGTGGATAAGCTTCGAGACGCAGTGCATGGTAAATTGACATACACATAACATTCAAAACTCACTCTTATATGTATATTATATATACTTTTATTTATAAACATACCCAACCTGTTAATCAATTAAAACTAATTATATATCAATCGACCAATCGTTACACAAATTATAATATTTATTTTGATGTTCATTTTAACATAAAATGAATTTATTGATTACACTACTACGTTAGTAATTAATAATTATTATTTATTAGCCTTATCTTGTGTAATTTTTTTATTTTAAGTTGGCGTATTAAAAGTCATTACTGGAGTTAATAAATAAAATTAAATAGTAATTCGTCGGAATTCTACTGATAAATAATGAAGTATGAGTTATGAGTGATATTACGAAATATTTTTTAATTTAAAAATTATTTTAGCTGTAAGAAGCATTGAATTTATTTCTTCCTTAAAAATTTTCGTAAAATATTTCAAAATGCACCCTGTGTATAAATATGAGTTTAAAATGTTTGGTCGTACTTAAACATAATTGATTAAGCCTGATTATTTATTTAGATAATAATAATTATTATTATTATTATTAATTATCATGGATATATTTTGATGATAAATATGAGTTGTATGGTGACCAAGATTGAAAACGACAGAGGATAGACAACTTAACAATTAGTATTTGGTGAGTAGCGAAAAATAAAAAGCCCCTTGAGGATTTTAATTATCCTGCGTCCATTTAAAACTTTTTATCCGATAGTTGGGTCAAAATAAATATTACCCGCGCATAAGCATACCCTTTAGCTGTTTGTTTATTAAATTACCAGAATCCTCCGGCGCTACGACCCCCCGGTGGATTATTTACCCGGATACAGGCACGTCGGGCTTCGTCAATATCTTCTGTAATTTTAAATTAATTATATTAATAAATAATTAAATAGAAGAAATCATCTAATGAAGAATAAATTACCGCTGATAGAGAATGTTGAGTCTTGAAGATTTCTTTGACCTTCTAGACGCGGTCCCTTAGCTGAAGGAGTGACAACTGCGGATTCTGGTAATGTTGGAGTGCAAGAAATTTCACGTAATTTTGGTTTATTACGCATGGCCTCATGGTTGCCGTTGGTGTGATTATTATTCAGTTGCATTCGCGCAGCAGCTGCGACTTTAGCAGCTTCGCGAGCTTTTGCACGCGCCAGGTCTTCATCAGCGTGTTTTTTAGATTCTGCGGCACTTCTTGCTATTCCTCGAGGTATCTGTCATTAAAATAATTTAATTAGAATTATTTAAAAATCAATTTATTTATTTTTTCTTTACCTTTTCACGTTCTTCAACCATTTCATACACATACGGAGGATTGAGGGGTGTTTCGACGAATCTTCCGTATCCATGGACCGCTTTCAAGTCAGTCTCATCAACGCAAACTCTTCCACTAACAATAACATATTCTGGAACTCCAGTAACTTCCATTCCCTAAAAAAATCAATTGAATAGATTTTTAAATAAAAAAACTTCCTGTTGAAAAAAAATAAAAAGTACCTCAAAAATATTAAAATCAACAGCTTGAACATGAGTATCCGCAGAGATAACTCGCTTGCGGTTCGGGTCCCAAATAACAATGTCAGCATCCGACCCTACAGCAATAACTCCCTTTCGCGGATACAAATTGAATATTTTAGCAGCATTTGTACTTGTAACAGCGACGAATCTCATGGGATCCATAATACCAGCATGGACACCCTTTTCCCAAACAACAGACATCCTATCCTCGACTCCGTTGACGCCGTTGGGTATTTTGGTAAAGTCATCTTTGCCTAAGGCCTTTTGGTCAGCATTGAAAGTACAGTTATCACTTCCCGTGCATTGCAATCCGTCCCTAAATTAAAAATATTAGTTTTTCATTCAATTAAGTTTGTATAAATTTAAAAAAAAAAAAACATTATCTTAATCAAATAATGTATAATTAGTTACAGCAATGACTTGATTATTCAGTTTTCCTCAGCTCTTGTTGTAATAAATAAATAGTGATAATAGTTTATAAATATTTATACTAGAGAATCGTTGATTATAAATAAATATATAATTTATGTTATAGTATAAAGTGACAAAATAGGCAAAATTGTCTAGATTATTACTTATTACGTACTTCCTGTTTCAGTAACACTATATAAATTATACTCAATTCCTTTAAATCAAACTTACAGACTCTTTAAATACATTACATCATAATTTATTTTATATTAATAATACTTAGTAATAAATTTATAATGTTTCTTCAGTAAAAATTCTCATTAAACTTTAATTGATTTGTAAGAAAATTTTTTCAAGAGTTTTTAAAATTCTTTAACAGATTTTTTACGGCCTAACGAACAATTACTAATTTTTTATAAAGAAGTAATTAATTAAGAATGTTGCAAAAGTATATAAAAGGGAATAATGAATAGAAAATAGTAAACTTTCAAAAGAAATTCATGATTTAAAACAAAACTTTCATCGAAACTCCTTAAAAAGGTAAATTCGAGAGTTTACTCTTAATCGATTTTATTCATACATATATATATATATATATATATAAATATGTAGTTTATTTATCACAAGTTTCTATAAAAGTTTTGAGTTTTAAATAATTTAAAACTTTCGAATAGCGTATAAAGCTGAAATACCGGATATTTATCCATATTTTATTCAAATAAACTCAATATTTATTTTTATTTGGTAATAATGAGAGTGATGACAACATTCAAGTGTGTTCATTGATCGGGACTCATCACAATACTTACTCGGCAAGCTTTTCAATTAAATAGGCCGGCGTCGTGGGGTCGGGTCTAAGAGGAGGGTTAGTAACAAAACGTCGTCCCTTCTCCATGTCTTTTCCGTACTGCTCGCTCCCGTCGACGCCTACACCAGCTGCCGTGGCTTCCCCAAACACCACGAAATTCTCCCGCTTCGAGGCGATTACGTCCGCCGATGACTTACTCATCACCGCCGATACGTACAATGGACAATTCACCTATTATATTTATAAAAATATATAGGCCACTATATATTGCGACGCATTCCAAGTAAAAATTATTTTTCAGTGCCAAAATAGCTAATTTAATTAAACGTCTACGGATTACATTAAATTCGTGCTAAACAATAACTTAAATACAGACAATGAGCCAAGGAAAACTGATGTCATGCTAAAAAATATCAAGTGCATAGCAAATAAAAAATAAATGACAATTAAACGAGTACACTACACTAACTTCGAACCTTATTCTTATAAATGGAGTCAGCAAACATTTAACAATCGACAATTATGTAGTTTCAATGTATGACTAACTGAGAAAATAAATAGTGAGAATATCTGTCACCTCGGGTATTATTTATCGTTTTTACTTGCTCTTTATACATTAAATATAAAAGTATGAAAGGTAACGAGATAAAAATAACTGCGGCGCGTCTTTTCTCTGGAAAAAATTCCTGGCCGGTGTAAAAAGTCGTCAGGTAAATTGTCAGCTCTTACATTTAATGTTAATGTTAGTCTTTATTTTTATTGTCCTTAAAAAAATTAATAACAGTTCATTCATCGGGCAATATCGCAGGTGTTAAACCTTTTGTTGACTGTTTATTTGTATTCTGCTTTATCAGGCTCATTGAATTCCAAATTTTTTTTCAAGACAGTGTAAATAATTGATGCCCTCAATTACAATCATGAATAACTAAAGATTACATAAAATTTTATATGTTTACTTCTTTTTTTTTGTATAAAAAAAAAAAGATTTATGAACAAGTTTTATGAACAATAATTGACTTTATATCATGACCGCAATGAATGAAATGTTATTAAATGCTGGACAATTTAATTTACAGTCGGCGAGAAGAAAACTTACAAAGCCAATTTGATCATAAGATCTCTGGGAGTATCTTCGTCGGGTCTAAGCGGTGGACTGAGGACATGTCCAGCAGCATGTCGCCAGCATGTGTGATGATAGTTGGTGCCGTCGGTACCAAGAGCTGCGGCCAAGGTCTCGCCCCAAACACAAACCCCTCGTTTCCGGGCTTCTTCAATAGCTTCCGCTGCGCTACGACTCATCACATGCACTACGTACAATGGACAGCCAACCTAATTGTATTTGTGCCGTAACATTTAACATGCAATAATAATTCATAACAATAAATAATATCGCTAAATTCAATTGTCAATTCTTCAGATGAAATTTTTCAGATAATTATTAATAATTCACCAGAGAAGAATATGATTTATAAAAATAAATAAATAAAATATGGCGATAGTTTGCTAGTAGAGACTATAAACGAGTCGTGACATCCGGTCGTAACTCTCGAGTGTTGGCACGTTTATGTCAATGTTACTTTTGTCAGGACGCTAGCTAAGTGTAAAAAAAAAAAACACAGTGAGATTTCATGCTATGATGCGAAATAGAAGTTTTTAAAATTCTTAGCTCCTTATTTATGCTGTAAACTTACGAGCGAATAAAACATAAGTGCCTGCCCGCAAATTCGTGACATTGACAATTGAATTTACACCAACAACAACAACAACAACAACAATAAATAATAAATAACAAGCGACTAGATACTAAAAAAATTTTCCAAGCGGAATAATAAAAAAATATTGTACTTGAAGTGAAACTTTATCGTATGAAAATCGATTAAAAGTACCTGACTGGCAATGACGCAAGCTCTGTGTGTTGCCTCGGCTTCAACTTCTTCCGGACGAGACATTTCATGGCCTTCCGGTCCTGTCACTCCGGCGTTCAATAACTTCTTTGTGTTCTGCAATAAATCAATCACTCGATCATGAAAATCCGAATGAAGAATAGCAAGTACCGCGTATTGGTATTAATTATTTTTCTTAGTGGCTTATGACTTATGACCTATAACTTACAACGGCAATAATGTCACCATTTTCTGCATGGACCATCGCTATGGCTCCCAATTCTCTGCAGGCGGTAAATGCTTCTATTAATTCCGGATCACGAAGCATGAATAAATCTTTATACGCCATAAACATTTTGAAACTGTTTACTCCGTGTTCCCGAGCCAGAATTGACATTTCTTCTTTTGTCTAAAAAATAAATGAATTAAAAAAAATATTTTCAATTAATTTTAAATAAGAAGAAAATAAGTTATTGATTATAAAAGAAATTGATAACTCTAAGACGATAATCTCGGTTCTCATCATTCTCCGGTCGGAAAACTGGGTCAAAGGTTTTATACGATGCAAATGCACGCAACTATACTCTCTCAATGACTTGAAAAAAAAAATCAATCACTAATAACAAGAAAATTTAATTAAAAAATTCTTTTAAAAAACAAAGACTGTTATTTCTAATTTACTTATAGGGCAATTGGCAATTACTATTTAAATAAGATTTGTTTTTGTTTCCATCGGATCGAAGCTTGTTTAACTCGTCACGCCGCAGCGTTGGAGGCAAAAAATAAGTAGGCTGATTGTTTATCACGCTCGAGAAGTACCAGCAAGACTAACATAAAGATAGAATAAGTAACACATTAATTAAAAGTATGGGTAAATCGTTGGTACTTGTACTTGCCAGTGTTTCCATTTGGATTAAACGATAAAAAAGTAGAAAGCTCCCAACGAGTTTTGTTGCCCTTTTTTTATCCCGCAACACTTTCTTAGCCCTGCTTCGATATCAAAAATAATTAATAATTATCAATCTTTCTGCGACTATCGCATTAGGTTGAACTAATTGGCGGTAAAAACTTTGACACGTTCCTAAGTTGTCGATAAGAACTTGCAAGTAAGCCGAAGCGTTAATTAATCATCAAACTAATACTAATAATTAATTGTTTTATTAAATAAAAGATTGTAAAAAAGTTTCTTCTCACGGTCGCGCGGTAAAGTAATTATTAGAAAAAAATTACACGACACATTCGCAACAATACCTTTATAATTAACTATTGTAATTAAGGTACAATTTACACAGACGGTCTTTGTAGTGTAGACAAAAAATAGGTATGTTCTATTAACCTGATTCATTTATGCAAACTTCCTGGTTACATATTAACCAGGAAATTAAATTCAAAATCACGTGATATATTTTTTTTAGTTAAAATTTAATTGCTAAACATTTAGATGATTTAAATTACTGCGGGGTATTTTAGTTTTAAATAGCGTGGGAGTTTGGAAACAGTTCTGAGTGATAAGCTATTATTTTCGTAATTATACGGGGTTATTTTTAGGGCATTGAGGTAATAAATAACGCTTATTATCCCTGATAATTTAAAGAAGGTCATTCGGGAGCCAAAATGCAAGTTAATTTTTTTTTTTGTTTCTAAAAATTAATAAAATTTTGGAAAAAAACAATGAAATAATAAAATTTTAAAGTCAGAAAAATTTTTGCAAATAATAATTAAATTTCTGAAATCTAAAATAGATAAAAAAAAAAAAACATGGCTGACTAGACTTTAGCGATTAGATAAATAAATTACATAAGTAACTTTGTAAAATTAAGACCCGTGAATTATGACTCACGGTAGAGTAATCGGTAGGACATGTAGAAGCGTGCGAAAGTCATAAAGCACATACAGCGCAACGACCTTACGCTCATTTCCACTTATCCATTATTATTATCATTATAATTTTACTCTACTTGGTTCAACTGATACTAATAAAATCTGTTACATAATATAATAATATTTGAGATTGACATTACTCTGGCATTCCAGCTGGTGACCGCGACGTGGAGCCCGTAGTCACAGCAAACTTTTTCATCAGCAGTGGCGCGATACCTCTCGTAAGCCTCCAGAAGACTCTCGTCTTTCTGGGGGATGACAAAGTCCATTATCATGGTGGTCCCACCTGCAACCGCGGCTTTGGTCCCCTGATAGAAGTCGTCCACTGAAGTCGCGCCCATCAGCTCCAGCTCGAAGTGAGTGTGAGGATCAATACCTCCTGGCATTACATATCTACCACGTGCATCTATTGTCCTCGTCCCCCCGGGGATTATCAAGTTTCGTCCCAATTGCCTGTTTGAATTGCAAAAGGTCAATTGAAGCTTATGTATCAATTTATTAATTAAAATTAATATTAAAAAGAACAAAATTTACTTGATGATTCCGTCTTCGATGTAAACATCGCTGTCAACAATCCCGTCCTCGTTGACAATTTTTCCATTCTTAATCAGCAGCCGATTTGCAGCACTCTGTAAAAAAATAAACAGATATTTTTATTGAATTGATCGAATCACGGTTGACAGGATTTATTATCGATGTCATAGATTTGTTGGCAAGTAAAGCACATCATTATCATTTTCATTGTATATTGTATGATAAAGTGTGTCAGTACGTCATTAAGTTGACGTCTTACAGCTTAGTTGCCTATCCAACCGTGCTCAAATAATTCTATGTAATTTTGTCGATTGTTATTATACGGCACGAGCCACTGCAGTGTAATTTTTTACCTTTAATAATATGTTAAATATGTTGTAGTTTTATTTTTTATCTTCCAAAGAGGTATCATTTATTAATAAACTGATAAACAATCAGCTTAATTCAATAGAAAAAATTTTTTAATCGAAAAATATGAATTTTACTTGATTTAAAATAATTTTAAATCAGTGTATTGATAAATTTTGATTTTTTTTTTTTTTCTACAAAATGTAATTTAAAATCGAATTTATTTTAATGAATTTACATAAAGAAGACATAGAATATTTAATTATTACACAATATACTTAAAAAAATGAAATTTATTGATTTTAAGATAGTGAAAGGCTTTAAAAAACTTGTAAATTAACTCGACTGTTTACTTTTCTAGACTAGACCCGAGGCAAACTGAGAACATCTGGTGTTTATTTAAATTATAAATTCAAATCGGAATCTAAATCTTGGTCTACTGTTTTAGAAATCCTCGTATTGATCAAAAGAAGAATAAAAATAAAAAAGACTCGGAAGTCTGAAGGAACATATATTTCTAAAAGGGAGAAAGCGGAGGGCGAATAAATTTCTTCCACGCAGAGGAGTTGTACAGAAAGTAACAAGCAACCCCTAGCAAGCTAGTGGTATTGTGGCGAGGGTTGTTACCCCGTGATTATTTACATCTATGACCTCTCTCTCAGCGTATATAGTTTGTAGAGTGCACTATAAGGTATGGATTTTCTAGTTAAGTGTTTAACATTGGAGAGTTGACGGCTACCCTTGACTGGCCCCTGTCTAGAATACACGGCGTATTATATAGTATATAGTATCACCATACTAGCCAGTGGACGTTCATATTCGCGAAACGGATCCTAATCTCCCGGCGCTGTTACGGAGCGTAAACATTGACCGTATTATTTATGCGCTCGCAAATCGCTGACCTCCTGAACCATTACGAGTCATCTACCGCTCACGCCTTTTATAAATAAACTTGCTGTATTTTCTTTCTGATATTTCGATATTTCAGACTTCAGAAAACTAAATAAACCGGATTGAGACTATTCCAAAATATACTTCCTGTAATTTAGATACTATCGGACACTTTCACTCTTCCTGACTATCAACAGAGCCCCAGCCTACACTTTTTTAATATTCATCCATGTCAGGGTCGGTAAACAAAGTGAAAGGTCATTAAAAAACGTCGTAAAGGTCTAGACCAACTGATTTTTTTAAAAGTTTTATTTTTGAAGGACGAATTAATTTTATTTTTGTTTCAGAGGTGAGGGAAGATAGAAAGTAATAATAACAAAAAACGTCGGGCTGGTGCGAAAACCCCCGGAAATGATAAACAAAACTGACACCTGTCCCGTATTCTGATATTTATAAATAATAAATGAATGTTTTTTTTCGTGGGTGAAAAATATTTACATGGGCGGGGACCAAATTGAAAGCATTCCCATGTCGATTTTCGTGGAAATAAGTTTAAAACTAGGCTGGGAAATTAAGTATTTTGAGAAGTGAGTACTTCGACCCAAATGCCCGCTTATTCTGGCTCAAGTTCAATATTTTAGAGCGTATAATAGCCCCTAAGACCGTACTTTATGTATTGAAGATGAACTAGCTGAATGCAAAGACACAAGTAGATCGCGAGCATCATCTGGATAAATATAGATATATCAGACGCTGCGAAAAAATAAAAATTACTCTGCTCGAGTTAATTTTGCGACTATTAATACAAAAGTTTTTAAGTTCATGCAAATTTAAGTTAGTTTTTTAAATTATCTATTTATAAAATTTAATTTATTTGCGATATTTAATTAATAAAAAGTGATACTTTGATTTAAATAAAAAACATACAGTTATATTGATAAATGTTTTTTGCTCGAAAAAAAAAAAAAAAAAAATGATAAACAATAAAGAGTCTCGTAAGCAAAAGGCTATATTTATATAGATAAACTAAATGACACGATGTTTAAAATAATTATATAAGTTGGGAGTGTGACGTTAAAAATTCTCACATTAATGTTTTATCCGTAGCGCGACATAGTGTCGACGAACTATCGATTTGTGTCGGGTCGTTCCATTCCAAGTCTATATCATCCTCTATATCGCAGTCCCTCGGAAGGCTCAAGTACATAAAACTCCGCAATTTAGCATGTACATTACCAAGGCACAGACATTTCTTACATATTGCATGCATTGTACGGTAATAAACTCTCACGTAAGATTGATTCTTAAAACCGCAGACTTCTGAAGTCAAGACAAAGAAGTTGCGGGTTTACAATTAGTAATTTTATCTTCACCTCAATAACATTCAAAGCCAAGAAAATTTGTTTAAGTAATTCCAGGTTTCATTACTATTATCATGAAACAAATTCGCTGTTTAGTTCGGCCAACTACAACCGTAAATTCTAACGGGACAACCGATTGTTCCGGTTGTCAGTTACAGAGCTCACTTACTCTGTTATGTCCTACACTCTGTCTCTGTATTTTAGCTCATCAAAGTTCTCCTTGAAGTTTAACTGCTCGGCAAACAATTTTTTTAGAAACAACAACAATTAATGAGCATCAAAAAATGAACAACTTTATTTTTCAGAGCTCTAATTCGATAAATTAAATTAATTGCCAGTTTTAACGGTACGATAACAAATTTATTTATCAGCCGATAGATAAAATACCTGATTATTATATATATATAATATAAAATATATATTACAGAAAATATTTGTTCGAAATACCAGGGACTAAAAAACCCGGATCAATAATTTCTCGGCGATCCCTTATTTAGTGGAGAGTGGTGAGTGATTGTGGAGATATGATTAAAAATAAATTTCCCTTTTATTTTTCTTAGTTTGGTCATGCCCACATGGTTACCTACGCATTATTTTCTTCACCCTTGATACATAAATTACTAAATATAATTCATTCCTCTGCTTAGCTGTAATAATAAAATTTTATTTTAATTTTTATTTACAGCTCCTTAGCTGAGTTTATTTAACAAAAACGTGTAAATTCAGTTTCTAAAGAGATAATGCATTATGAGCAAGAGAATTGACACCACGTGCCGTGATGACGGAGCCAACGACCGTAACTGAATAATATTACCGAGTTGATGAGTCCTGGCATTACCGATTTACTCTGGAGTTTTTAGCGGCATTAACCGATACATAATACATGTAGTTGGAGGAAAAAAAAAAATACCTCCGAGATATATCTGAGATCGGAGATCGGAGATGAAAGGACTGAGAGGCCTAAGAGCGGTGAAAGATTTACAAGCTACTTGAGTTGAGTTTAAGTCCTATCAATCACTCCTTTTATTTTTAATTCATTTCATTACTTTATCTCTCGGTAATATCGAGTGCTCAAAAGTCGCGAAACACCTGCTGAGATTTGTATTTTATTTTTTAAATAGAATAGAAATGAAAATAAAATTATTATTTATAAATTGCAAAGCATACTTCCGTGGATAAATTATTCAAATTTATTATTTTACGAGCAATTTAACTCACGCGTATTGAGATTTGTTTTTTAATTCGAATGTATTATTAGTTATTAGTTATTATTATTAACTAGCGATCGCCTGTTATGGGATCCGAACCTGTCAATAATTATATTCGTATTTCTCTGTTCAAGTGCATCAACAGTTACGCAACCGAGCGATCATGTATATAAATAAAATCGACAATTACTATTACTATTTTAAAATTGAGTGGCTATTGTACTCTCGGGCTCATCAATAATCACCGAGTAAGCCGGCAAGTAAAAATTACTGCTGCAATTAAGGGCGTATCAATTATACAGCTTCAAAAAAAATCTTCAAGGTAGTTAAATTAAAAAATTACTCAATTAAATTTTTTATAAATGTAAATAAATAAAAGAAACTGACCTGAAGATGAATCGGGACCTTTTTCACCGGCGTACTCATTTTGTATCACTGGAAAAAATTTTTAAATAAAACCACTGGCACTGAGACTGAAATAAAAACTCACAGTCCTAAAGTTTTATCGATTTTACTCGGATTTATGGTTCCAGCGAATTAACAAGTCCAGGGTATGTAATAATTGAGTAAAAAAAGTGGCCACCGGAGATAAAACTCGAGTCTCGGCAGAGTACGCAGGATCACGGAGAAGATAAAAGAGGAGCTGAAGAGAGTAAGCTCGAGCTTGCGCTTCGCGTTTAAAGAGCCAGCGATCGACTGGTGTCGTACGTGTCGTAAATGCACTGCGCGATGTACGGTGTGTAAGACTCGTGGTTCGTAGAAGGGGCTGTGCTGTGGGTCCCCACTTCGACGCCCACTAGTTATAATATTGCTTGTATTTTGTATAAGTATCACAGAGCAGACAACAGAAGATATGAGTTATTTTTTATTATGTTTTAGAAGATGAGCTGGGTTTTTTTGTCCTCTCCCTTTTTCACCAGTCGTCTCGGCTCCTTTAAATCACTACTTTTTCACCCTAATCGGCTTAAATCTCACTTCCTGATTCTTGCAGGATGCTGGATACTGGATACTGAGACTTTTCGACTTAAGCTGGGATTTAATTTGCAAAGTTTCAATTTATAAATTTATAAATGGATAATTTGTAGAATTAAATGATTGCGTTTGTATTTACTGATATGGTAAAAGAAGTCGATAGAAAAAATTAATACTATTTTAGGACACTAATCGTTATGGACAGCGAGTAGAGGATTTACGTGATAGGATTGCTGCTGAACCGCATTGACTGTTTCTTTTTCTGAACTTCCCTGTCATGTCCTACGCTAGCTCGTTGCTTGCTCAACATAACCGGTCGTTATCAATTCTACAAGAGTACTACACTTCTTTCGATTTGTAAAAAATAAATTATTTTTAGAAAAATATACTTACACTATTTAATTTTATTAAAAAAATAAATAAAGGATTGAGGAAGAAATTTAAATGAATGTAAGAATTAAAAATTGACATTTATTTTTGAATCTTTATTATATAATATATATTTAATATTTATATAATGTATTTATATTTACTTAATCGTACCATAGAAGAGAATTTATTTATTATTTATTAGATGTCAAAATGTGTAAGTAACTGTAACTTAAACGAGAGGAAAATGTCATTATTTATTATTATTATTATTATTATTATTATTATTACTTATTCGCTTTATCAATTTATTTAATTTTCTATATGCATATGTATATATATATATATATTTTTTATCTTAAAAACTAATTGCCGTAAAATTAACTTATAAATAGTTCCCCCACTCAAAATACAATAAATTTTCATCTTCATATTTTTATAAATCATATATATGTTGTGGCATTTAAATAATTAGCTACATTAATAAAAATTTTACTCGAGACCTAAACAAACTGAAATTATTTATTTCATCGTAATGATAATTATCATTATTAGCTTTCAATATCAAATTTCGATAATAAATCATTACACTCACACGACCACTCAGTACTTAATTAATTATTATTATTTATCCTTAATATAATTTAATATTCAATTCAATTGTAATAGTCTCAATTGTTTCTAAGCAGAAATATACAAGATGTGTTCAGTATATTTTTGAATTTATAAATATTCCAGATAAATTCTCATTATCCTCGTTACTCCTCATTCACATCTACATTTATTACTTTCTACTTTTTTTTTATACAAAAAAAAAGTGATAGATATAAAATCCATCGCCGAGTAATTTTTAACTTAAACTCTTAATCCTCTTTTATATACAAAATTCAATACCTAGCATTACAGTCAGTCTATCTTCACCATGAAGAACTACTGAAATCATCAAGCATAATTCGTAATAATTATTATTATTATAATAATATTTATTATGGATCTTAGTCTAAGTATCATTTTAATTAAATTAATATTTTATATATTAAATTGCGACAATTGAAACAATCGACAAAAATTAATCTTTGATTGAAATAAATTGTTGCTTTTGATTTACAACCAAGTAATTAATTTTTGAGGAAAGTTTATCATTTTTTTTTTCAACAAATGTTTTAATAATAAACATTCGTTGCATTGTCATTTCTTTAGCTTTGTTCAATTTATAAAATCTCTTATAAATTACTCTACATAGTTTTTTGAAACTATGGACACGCTTGGTTTTTGACTTCCTCACTCTAGAAATAAATACACTCATAAGATTGTTTTTAAATTAAATAATTCAATTCTTCCATTTAAAATATAAATAAAAAAAAAAATTTTATGTTCTTTTTTTTATCTTTTACATCCTAGGCACTTTAAATCCCACAGATTTTAATGATTAAAGAAAATAAGGCCATTTGTCGAAAAAATAAAAGGTCTATTGAACTATTTTCTTATTTCTAGAGTAAATAAAATTCAGCCAAAATTTTAGCGATGAATAAAATAACCAAAAATCACGCTTACACATGAAAGGCAATGAAACGAAACCAAAATTATTTATCATTGAAAAATAAACTGGAAGAATTAAAAGTGAGCCAATAAATGACCATTTAAACATATTTATTATGCTTTCTTTCCTCTGCGTCTAAGTTATAGCCGTCTAACCACGAATGTATGCATTTAAAAACTCTACATGATACAATAAAAATAAAAATAAAAATAAAAATAATAATTATAAATTTATTTATTTGTGAAAATTAAAATTTAGACGTCGGCATTACATAAAATACATAGAGCTTTACAGTTTATTTTATATAACAACCGACAAAAAATAATAATAATATAATATAATAATATTAATTAATTAATAATAATAAAATAGTTCTTATATTGATATTTAATCTTCTCCATATTATTTTATTTATTCTGGTGTTATGTGATTATTTATAGTGATCATAGTTCTGTTAAATTATTAAATTGTTTTACTTTTATTTAGCTTAGAGTGCTTTGATCAAATGGGATTGGTTTACATGGAATCGGTAAAAAAATAACGTCATAACGTTTTGTTACCATTTGTTTTTTTTTAACAGTTAATCATTACTATTTTTCTTCATTGTTATTCAATTACTTTATTTACTATACGATGTTTTCAATAGTTTATTTTTTTTTTTTTGTCTACTTTCGTTATTTTTAATCAAACGAATACGATTTTATTGAGACGTTAGCACCGTCATTGTATCAACTCACACGAGTTTAATTATCTCAACATAATTTCTTCCTCACGTTTATCAAAATCCACAAATTTACCCATTATTATTATTGATTTTTTTACATCATTTGGTAATTAAAATAAAAATATTCAAAAGTATCCAATTATCCCCCAAGATTAGAACGAATAAATAAATTAGTAATAAACATTATTTTGTATATGTTTAATAAAAACGAGCTGTAAATAAAAAAAAAATATCTTCAATTATTAGATTATGCGAATTACACTGTAGTTAACGATATGTATTGAAAAATTTTACTGGAGTAAAAAAATTATTTAGAAAATAAAAATAGATAGTCTGAGGCTTTGATACCGAGTAATGCAAAACGAACACTTGGTGTACCTCTTTGTTACATTATTATTATTATTATTATTATTATTATTATTATTATAATTAATTACTCAAGTCACGTATTCGTGGTCCGAGTTAAATTACCTAATCACAATCGATTGTTTGGCGCAGTAATTAACGCCTTGTCGTGCGTATTAGCGAAAATTAAAGGTGATGTTTTTTCATAACGGGGGAGTTGTATATAGAATTTTTATTTTATATTATTTATTTATAGTTAGTTATTGTTACTGTTGTTGTTTAGTAGCATTAAAACGGGGCTTGTGGACGATTAAACATCGTCAAACTTGTAGGAAGTACGTACTCACGAGTGGTAGTCTTCTTGTTTTAATTTTTTCATCGGTGAATTGCCTACTGCACGAGCATCACTTACTTGTCTCTTTACCTGTGGATTACTTTTCACAGCCGTCGCTGGATCTGTAATTAAAAATAAATAAAATTTTGGTTTATTAAATAATGACTTTTGTTAAATTGCACTCTACTTTCTTAAATATTGACATTTTTAAAGATATAAGCTCATCCCGATGTTACACTCATCAAGACCTTTCATTTGAATACTCACATCAATTTTTCATATATTTTATATATATTATATATATGTATACATGGAAAATTTATGAAAATGTATGTGGGTACTCAAATGAAAGCTCTTGATGAGTGTAACATCGGGATGAGCTTATATCTTTAAAAATGTCAATAGTTGACAAAATACAAGGTCATTTCTTAATTATGAAGATATGATATGAAACTTTGAAAAGGCCAATTCAAGTTATTAAAAAATAATATTTACCTTGCAACCACCTAACTTGGGTAGCAGGTCCATAACCTTTGTCATTCCTAGCAGCTATTCTAAATATTATCGCGGGTTTCGTAGTGACGTCCATATGAGCAGCGCTCAAAGAGCTATTCGGCACAGAGCAGGAATTAGTGGGCCCGCAGTAGACCCGAATGAAAGCCAGTTGATTGGCATTCGCCGCGACTGTTGTCGGCTCGCCTGCATTATTCGACACTGCACTGGCACTTCTAACAGCCAGATACACCGAATACTCCAAAATGGGTCCAAGATTGCTGGGAGGTGGTTCCCAAGAGAGCTGAGCACCTTCTGCAGACTTGGAGATCTTTATCGCGCTGGGAGCTCCAGGATAACCAGGTAGGCACGTTTTGAAAGCAGAAACTTCGCTCCAAGGACTTCTTCCACAGCTGTTTACCGCAGCAACGCGGAATTTATACGCGGTACCAGACTCCAGTTTAACTTGGATCCTGTCTTTGAAAATTTCCGCAGGAGGTAACGACATATCAAGCGGCTGGTCTCCAGGAAGATGATAGTGTTGAACAACAAACGTAGTACCCTTAACTACACCAACATCGAACCAGTCAAGATCTTTCTTTTCCTCTTCAGTAAGCTCGGCTTTTACTTTGACACTTTGCTCGGCAGATCCCAGCGCGGCAGTCGCGAGAGTCGTCAACGCCGTTGAGTCATCAGCTTCCCTCGAGTTGTTTTCTTTCTCAATCTTGGGCAACTCTTTCTTCACAAACGCCTCCTGTTTTATTGCACTAACAGGAATTGGCTCCGTGGGACTGGGAACATTTACTTTTTGCGACAATTCGTTGGCTTCTGGCTCAGCGATACGTCCATTGGTCACGGCTGTAGGGGTTGGCGGTGGAGTTGGTTCTTTAGCAGCAGACTGGTCCATGGCTTCTGTTTTAATTTGTCCAAGTGGTGACTGAGCCAACGGAGACGCCGCTGCGAGAATTGGAGTCATTGGAGTCGGAGCTTGGGATATTGGCGACGGAACTCGAGCTTCTGGAGATGGAATTCGGGCGACTGGTGATTCGACTCTTGGTGATGCTACTGGTGAAGGAACTTTAGCCACAGGTGAAGCAACTGGAGCTACTACAGGTGACGCAACCCGAGCTACGGGTGACGCAACCGGTGATGGAGCTGCAGCTGGAGATGGAACTCGATCAGCAACTGGTGAAGCGACAGGAGCTTCAGGTTCTAGTTTAACACTCGGTTCATCGACATCCATCGGGACTTCTGGCTCAGATTTATCAGCCATAGGCGAGCTCTCAGTCTCCATGGCTTTATTCATTTCTTCTTGTATCGCAGCATTGAGATTCTCAAACTCATTGTCGCCGTCAGAGTCATGATTGTCTTTTTCTTCAGCTTCAGTAGCAGGAGTCTCTGTTGTAAGATCTGTCTCAGGTTTAATTTCCTCTTGTAAAGTCTCAGAGTCTTCAACATTGGGCTTATCTTCAGTTTCAGCTTCGAGTTTATCTTCAGGTTCATTTTTGGAACTGGCCTCTATCGACTCTGTCGGCTGAGTGGACTCAGACAGCTCAGACTTGAGAGACGACTCGGAAGGAGCGTTGCTGACAATTTGCATGTCACTCTCAGAAGGTAAATCAGGCTCACTGGCTTCCATAGGTGTCTCGCAAGCAGAAGCAGCGTCAGCTTCTTCCGTTTCAGTGTCGAGATTCTTCTCCAACTCGGGCTCTTCTTTTGCAGCAGCTTCTTCAACTTGAGGCGCGTCTTCAGTGATAGCTTGGTCGACTTCTTGTTCAGCTTCTTGGTTTTCTTGAGCTTCGGATTGCGAAGGGGGATCCGCCGCTTCCTCAGACTGTTCCATCTCTGGTTCGTCATTTGCTTCAGGAGTGTCATCGTCGTCTGAAAAAATATCTCCAGGTCCATCAACCTGAGGAATTACAAAGTTACCATCCCCGTCGACTTGCATCGCCTCTCCAGCAGTCAATTGAGATACCAAAGCAGCCGTTGTTGTTGCTTCATTGCCGTTACAGCTGTCCTCAGCTTTCTCATCAGCTCCGTCGTCATTCACCATGAAATTGAGACCCGAGGACTCCTGAACCGGGTCGATGAGACCAGCTTCAGCAGCGAGGGCGGCTAATGCAGCGTCTGTAGTTGCTGGACCGTCTGATGTCGACGCCAAGGAGGCTGAAGGCTGTTTTTGCGGCATAAAAAGCATTTTACTGGTGTCAAATGAATCTCCAGCGCCAGTGCTGACAATAGAGCTGGTAGTCGGTACCAGGGTGACTGTTTTTCCTCCGATGCCTCCAGACATTTGCAAGGTCACTGGTTTGCCTGTACCGTCTTGGGCCTTCTGGAACTGGGAGCTCGTAACGATCTGAGTCTTTGCCGGATTAAATATAGCTTGTTGACCACCTTTGGTAATAGTAACAGTCTTTGGAACACCTCCATGTCCAGGTACTGTTATGGTAATTGGCTTTCCACCAGTACCTCCCACCATGGCACCTGAAGACACGACAATCATCTTGACTCCTTGCTGATTGGTGACATGGTTCGCCGCTGTTAAAGGTAAAACATTAACCGGAGTTGTAATCGTTCCACCTTGACCAGCCTGGGACGTTGTAACAGCTTGGACAGTTCTTAGACCACCTCCCGTTGTTACGACGATTATTTGATTTGTTCTACCGACGATGCCTCCGTTGCCGCCGGGTTTAGTGATCATTATTGTCTGTTTGCCAGCAATGGCTTGGCCTTTGCTCATCGTTACTATATTAGATCCCTTCATTGATGTGATGATTTTAGATCCAGTGACGGTGTTTGGGTTTACAAGTCGAAGGATAGTAGGTCCTTGGTTTATGGTCTTTCCACCAATTGTTTGGAGAGTTTTACCGGGTATTATATTAACTTTAGGACCAGTGGTCATCATTCCACCAGTTTTCAGTAAATGAACAATCTGTGGTTGTCCAGCGATGTTCTGTCCGGATTTTTGAAGGATTATTTGCTTGCTATGCTGAGGAGAAGCTGCACGAAGGACTGTGGAGCCCGGTGCTGCGAATCGGATTTGTTGACCCGGTTGCATGGTCTTCATACGCACAGTATTGGTGGGATTTTGAGCGACTACGTTGGTTGGCACGTTGTTCATGCTGATTTTGGGAGTAGCTGCTGCAGCAGCGGCCAGAGTGGCGATGCCAGACATCGCCGAAGGTGATTGTCCAGCGGTCGTTGTCACTGTTGAGACTGGAGTCTGTTCGGCGGTCGGCATTACTGGAGCGGGCACCGAAGTGACTACAGGTGGGCGAATTCTGATGACATTGCCAGTGGCCACTCGGGGACTCAAAGGAGGTGTTGGCTTGACGATTGGTGTTGTGATGGGTCGAGGAGTACCGGGTTGAATTGGAGCTTGAACGCGAATAGGGCTCTGAGTGATTGCTGGACGTGGAGCAGCAGCAACCACTGGAGTCATAGTGGTGACTACGGGTGGTTGAACTACTGGAACCGGTGCCGGAACCACTGGAGGAGCTGGTTGAGCAATTGGTGCAGCGATTGGAACTGGAGCTGGAGCTGGAGCTGGAGCTGGAGTTGGGGCTGGCGCTGGCGCTGGTGGAGCTTGAATTGGCGTAGAAATAGGGGTTGGGGGATGAACAGCTGGTGTTGGCACAGCAGGTGTTGGTGTTGGCGCAGAAGTTATCGCCGGAGGAGCTGGTGTAGCTGTTGCGGCTGCTGGCATCGATGCTGCGGGGAATGATGCAGTCGCAGGGGGCATGTCGTACTTTTGGATTTGAAGGATGTAGTATTGAGCCGATGGTGTTGGGGTCCAGTTCACTTCCAAAGAATTTGTGGATGCTCGGACCAACTGAACTCGAGATGGTGCTGGAGGTTTGCTGACTTCCAAGAACCACAAATCTTTACAGCATACCTATTTAGAATATTAAATAAAATATTTAGATTTTATTACAAATATATTACAAAAGCGATAATCGCTTTCATTTAGTTAAAAACTAACCCTAACCTGGTTGTTCCATGCTTTACGGTAGCCATCGCGGCCAGACCAGACGTAAAGTCTACTGTGTATTCCTACGGCGCAATGCCCAGCTCGAGCTCGAGGCACATTTTCTTCCGTCGAGTCCACGGTCAATTGTTCCCAAGTCAGCGTTTCTATAAATTAATAATTATTAAATTTTTATAAAATAAATTATAAATAAAATTTTGATTTATTAAATAATGAATTTTGTCAAATTGCACTGTACTTTTCGACTTAGGCGGATTTTGATTCGACATAAAGAAGTTGAGATTCATTTTTATAAATTTTGAGGTAGAGGGGTAAAATAAATAAAAATTCAAGTTTTAAATTTTAAATTCGTATCAACGTGAGTCATTAATTTGGGTAATTCTATTCATTGTCTACTCCTAATAAACAATGGTGCAATGATAAAAAAATTAACTTGACTCAAGAGCCTTAATCTTGAACTAAGTCAAGAAATTAATCTTGATGTAAGTAAATTATTCTTTTCATAAGAATTTATTCTCTTGACTCAAGAAAATCATTTTCGTCAAAATTTTATTCTTGGTTCAAGATTTTGGCTCTTGAGTCAAATTAATTTTTTTATCAGTGTGTACTTGCACTGTCGGCAAATTCTTGAAGGTGTTAAAAGTCTCAAACAATAAAGTTGTAGATGTTATAAAATAAAACATTGCTATATTCGAGATACAGAGGTAAAATATATACATAAATAGCTTGTAGGGACTCACTAATTATTTCGACTTATAGAGGTTCTACTGTATATAATATAATATAATATAATATAATATATATAATATATATAATATATAAAATATATGAAAAATTGATGTGAGTACTCAAATGAAAGGTCTTGATGAGTGTAACATCGGGATGAGCTTATATTTTTAAAAATGTCATTAGTTCTCAAGATATAAGATTATTTCTTAATTATGTATCTAGATAATTTTCGAATGACTATCCCGGACACAAAATTTTTCTTATTCTCTTAATAGATTATAAAATATTTTTTACTACTAAAAAAATGATAATTAAAAAAATAAAACAAACCTAAATTTAAACAAGCTAGAGTACTAGTACACTTCCATTCCTTCTCATGTGTCGCTACTTTGACATCATCAACAACAAGAGGCACCCATCCGCCAAAAACATACATTTTGTGATTGATAAGAGTTGCGGTGTGTAGTGACCGAGGCAGTGGTGTCGGTCCATTAACGATTGGTTTATTCCAGGTCATTGAATCGACGTCCAAGAACCAGAGATCACCCAAACGACAACCACTCATTCCTCCATAAATAACCAGGCAGGATTTCCCGGTGGTTCTATCAGTGTAAGCCACACCGGTGTGTGACTCTCTCGGTGGTGGAGAAGGCCCGTAAGTCTTGGGGACTTCCCACGCAGTCTGTCCATTTGGCAGAAGCTCCAAAGTATACAAGTCATTTAAGTACCTCGGTATATTATTTTTGGGATCATCGCTGTCGTTGGCGAGACCTCCAAACAGGAAAACTTTATTTCCGATCAACGTAAAGCTGTGTCCGAGCCTAGGACACGGTGGTGGTCCATCCTTGGGGGACTTTGGCTTGAGTCTTTTCCACTCCCATCGGCTGGCTTGCAGCTCGTACAGTTCATTAGAGTATTTTCCATACTCTACCATGCCACCGAAGACTAGAATTCGCGTCCCGTCGACGACAAATCCATAGGCGGCGCAACCTGGGGGAATATCTCCCTTTGTAGAGGGAACAAACCATTGATTTGTTGCTGGAAAAAAAAAAAAAAAAAAAAAAAAAAGTAAATACGTGAGTGTACAGTTATCATTATGACTCAAAGCTGCAATCAAAGTACGCGCCTATTGGACGCGCATGCGGGTGCATCAACCTGAAACTAGCCGTACTTTGCATAGCAGAGGACGTACATAAAATAAAATAAAGGTAACTATAGATAGGGTGAGGTAGGAAGAGGAGAGAGTCAAAATCTCGCATTGAATTGTGGGTAATTTTTAATAGAGGGGGAAGAGAACAGCAATGGCCGCTCCCGCGCGCGTATACACTGTAAAAATGTCAGATTACCCGAGCTTTAATGGAGAATTATCAGCCCCAGATCACCGGCAGCACCGTAAAATTACTTTTCAACCTTATAATTAATGCTTTCACAGGTTTTTATTAATTTTATAGGGTGTTTTAAAAATAAATAATTGGTGTTTACTATCAAGTCCGGCCGGTGATCATGATGTTGCAGTGAGCAGCCATATTGGATCAGGGAAACGGCGCGCTCTGGTCGGTTTATAGACGCAGGCAGGCAGCACAAGGGCTGTAGTGCCGTCCAAACGTTACGGGCTTTGTAAAAATTTAAAAATCTAAATAATAATAAAAGTCACCTGTATTATAGACATGAAGCTCATCAACAATTCCCTCATTTCCTCCTCCGAATACGACCATAAGGTCCTTAATAGCGACCGCTCGGTGTCCATGACGAGGTCGAGGTTGAGGTCCGCTTGGATTTGAGATCCGTTTCCACTTCAACATGGGTGCCGCCATGATGACCGTCGATCACATCATTTTTTCATAACACCGTATTACCCTACGAGCATACGGCCCGGTTATTATTTATTGTTATTTAGATTTGTTTATTTATTTATTATTTAATCACTATCACTGTCTGGAGGATATTTTAAATAAACTCAAACACCGACTCGGTATTTACCAAGTTGTTTTTTTCTCAGCAATCTACTAGAGTCACTTAAAAATTTATTTCACTGCACACCATCTAGAGTCTGGTGTTGTACTGCCCTGGGCTGAGATTATTCCAACTAACCTTCCCGGCGTTTTCGTTCACCCGAACAACCTTTTATTACACAGCAACTCCCTCAACAATTACTGACCACCATTACACAGCTCGTACGCTGGGTCCAACCTAAAACACTTGATTGATTGCTCTCTGTTTACAGGTTACTATCAGCAGCCGAGTTTATTTATTTTATTATTGCAATGGAGAGCGTGATAAATACGCGCGGGTTCTACCGTGAACGCAACCCTCGCGGGGGCCCTCTTCGTCTTCTTCTATTTAAATGTGAGTGGTGTATATCTGTATATACTATAGATATATATATATATATATACTTATACTTATAGACCATGTATATCTTTTCGAGACTTTCCGCTACGCGGGTGTAGTGTGTAGTGTGTGCCGAGAACGAGGATAGAGGACCTTGTAACAACTCAACACAAACAAGAAAGACCCACACACGATTGTGAGAACTTGCATACGTTCAATCCAGTCTAGGTAACCTTAAATAAATTTACAATGTTTACTGCACTGTCGGCAGTTGCTGACACTGATTTATATTTCGGCTTTCACTCTTTTTTTTTTTTTTTTTTTTTTTTTTTTTTTATTCAACTGTTTTTCATAAAATATTTTTTATTTATTATTACAATTAAAAAAATGGTGAGTTACTTGTATGACAATAAATTTTTTATTTTTTATTATTTATTTTTCAGATTTTATTTTAATTTTTAGGTTACAATGACGGGTTTGTAATGAAAACTCGACACAATACATACACACAGTTCGCGCGCACTGTTTATATTCTACAGAAATTATTTAAATAAAAACTAAGTGTCGAGAAAATTACCCTTACAAGATGCCGGTGAATGAATTTAATTTTTTTGGATAAGTTTTAGCTGGATAAACAATTTAATTGCATAAAGTTTAGCACAAACTCTACACTAAACACATCCACCATTGCACGCGTTGTAATAATTAAATGCTGGCAACTATTTTTTTATAGAAACTTTTTTGTTCCTAGAGAATTTTTTTTTTAAACTAAAAATTTATTTGTTTAAATATTGCGACGTCTAATTTGATTATTTTAATTTATAATTAGAAATTTGCAGGAATTTATATGCAATACAATTGAAGGTCTCGTCGCTGATTAATAAAATAATAAAATAAGTATGAGCACAGGACCGCAGTCGGTTAACAAGCACCGCATATTATTATTTAATTTTAATTCTTTAAAATTTTTTAACTAAAAATTTAAATAAAGTAGAATTAAATTTTTATTTTTTCTTTTATCAGAGTAAAATATTTTTAATTTTAAAATTAAATTATTTTTGATATTGGATTAGGCGCAATAATTTAAACTCCGGTACTGAATTTTTAAAAATACACCGGAAGTCGTATAAATTAACACTTAAATTAAAATACCAAGTAAATATTTGAAAATGATTAACAAGTTGGTTTAGTAATACTTTTTATTGGCTATTTAAATAAATAAATATAAATAAAATAAATATTATGATATATGACTAGTGTGTAATATTGATATTTAAAAATAGAGCATGACTGTAATACATATCAGGAAAGATCGATTTGGCAATTGATTAGGAAGCGTGACCGAAGGTTAATCAAGATCATCGAGGTACCCGGAAGTTTTGTTCTTCTGGGAAAGTTTCTCCAGCCAGAAGTCATTAAAATCAACTTTTCTAAGAAAATTGTTCTCTTTGGCTCTCTCGACACGCAGAGCTTTCTTCACTTCGTTGGCAAGCTGTCCTTGATTGTCCATAAGTTCGTCTAGCTTTGAAATGTACTGCTCTTCAAGGGTGCGAATTTTCTTCTTGTAATACTGAATGGGATGCAACGTCTGTCGGTCGTGTGTGTCTTCAGGATCGTCCCAAATTCCCTCAAACTGGAGATGTACCGGAAATTCAGAGGAGTTTTCCGCGTATTTCGGTAACTTTCCAATTATCTCCTCGTACATTAGATAATAGGGGTACTGGACTCGCGCTTTTCTCCTCACGCGCTTCTGAAGAAATGACAGAGTTGAACGAAGATACTTTATTTCACACAGCGCACTATATTCATCATCAGATAATTTTTTTTCGTTTATTCGGGGTGCATTTGTTGCCATCTTTTTCGATCTTCTATTCTAATAAAAAAACTTTTTGTAAATTTAATATTTTATCTGGTTTTAATTTTTTTTTATTCTGTCAAATACTTACGGTAATTTTTTTAGAAGTAACGTCAAACAATGGTTCGATTCGGTTGCCTATACACAAATAATACTGAACTAAAGACAATGTGTAATTAAAAATATAAATAAATACATTTTTCGTAGTGCGAATTTAATTCCGGGTGGGGAGAAAAAAAGCACGCGGTTTTATTTGATGACGCGAAAGTAGAGGGAAAATTTAAATTTAATTTTATAATAATTACATGAAGCCGCTGAGTATAATATTTTTGTTTTTATTAAAATATTCAATTTCAAGATAGAATTTTACATATAATTTATATTATTTACAATTCAAACAATTATTGAATTTTTTTTCAAAATAAAATTTAACATGATAAATAGAAATGTTTTATAATTTGTGTGATAACATTAAAATAAACTAAATTTAACTAAATATAATTTTTTTCTCTTATACATATTATATAATTTATGATTTTAATATAAAAAATAGCAAATAAAAAAATTTTTCAATTTATAATACATAATTTTGGAATGATAGTTCCAATCATTTTAAATCTTAAGATAAATATAAAAATGTATATAAAACAATTTAATACTTATAAAATAATTAATCCAAAGAATCAAGGTACCCTTTTTTGCAAAATTTTCCCAAGGACTTAACAGTAGAGATGTAGTCGATAGAATTTTCACGCAAAAATACCTGAGTTTTTCGTATTTCTATCAACGATAACTCTTGCACTGTAATATAAGTTTCGAGCCTGGTTTTTTCAACAGCTTCAAAGTGTCGCTTTTCATCTACCAATTTCTGTATCTTCTTTTTATAGTACTCAATGCGTTCCGAAACTGTTTTATCACGAGAAGAAAACTCTTCTTCGTCGAGAATCCCCAGTAATGTTAAATGTTGCGGAAATTCCGGCGTCTTGAGAGCGTACTCCGGGAATTGTCCAATTTTTCTGTCAAGCTTTTCCGCGTCTTTTAGCTTTTCTCTTGCGTAGCCCCGGAACAATATTTGAAGCTCTCGATATTGGGACTGAAGAAATTTTAAAAAATGACTCTTACAAAGAAGTTTTTCATCCTCCATCACTTCCTCAACAAGTTCTTCCAACATTCTGGTACAGCATTCAGCTTTGTCTCTTTTCGAGAATTCTTTAACATATTCAATGGACCTCGTAATTTTATTTATAGTTCCCTCCAACGATCTCACCAATTTATCGGTCAGCTGCTTGGATCCAAATTTGAAGCAATGTCGTTTATGAACACTGAAGTCTTCTGTTAATTTTGTTACTAAGTTGATAAATTTTTGTTCACTCGTCATTTTTATTTATTAAATAAATATTTGAAACTTTTAAAACAACTTGTGTTTAATGTATTTAAAAAGCCTCACTTATATTTGTAACATAATATTTATGTTTATAACAATATTTGAAAACTTATAAAAAAAACTAGCTTCTAATATGTTCAAGAAACCTTGTTTATCTTTTAAACTCAATATTTATGTTTGATACTTATGAAACAACACGTATCTAGTTTTTTTTTTTCAAGCCTCACTTATGTTTGTAACAATATTTATATTTGTAAAAATATTTGGAAAGTTATAAAACAATTCTTTTCTAATATGTTCAAAAAATCTCGCTCATCTTTCAAACTCAATATTTATGTTTGTAACAATATTTAGAAACTTATAAAACACGTGTTTAGTTATTTTGAAGCCACACTTACACTAACTATATGTATAAATATGAATTTTGTACGAAACAGACGCTAGCAATGGTAGCGTGGGACTAAAATATTTCAAAATTGACCGCTGCAGGTGAGGATTTGTATTTTGATTTTCTGTCAGGTGGGAGAGGGTCAAGTGGGAGAGGTTCGCACCCTATTGTGCCAATTTATTGTGCAAACGCTTAAGCAGAAGATATTTCCTAATCACAAGTACTGTATACAACTTGTATATTTAATAAAAGTATTTTGAGTACTAATTCTTATTTAATTACCCAATTTTAATAAACGTTTGGCGATTTTTCAATTTTATGGCTAGGTTGAGAGAATTATGTTTATAATTATTTAAAATTAAGAAAGTATCTACAAATTTTTGGAGTTAAATTTAGACTTAAAATTGACCTGAGTTGTGAAGGGATGTACACTACAATTGAAGTTAATAAATTAAAATTCTGATAAAAATAAGAACATGTATTAATAATTGACTGTAATATTTATTTATATAATATATTGATTAATTACAAATATTCTTATAAAATAATTCAATATTAATCATATTAAATGCTAAAAAAAATACTTCGATTGTTTAGAATCGAAAAAAAAAGTTTCGATTATATAATAAAAGATAAATTTTCGAGAATCAAGTTATTAATATTTATAATATTTATCGGAATTGTAAAGAACTTATTCTCAACCCTATGGACTCCTTTCCAACCTGAGCGACATCGCAGACCTTGCAAAGAGAGTCTTTGAATTGCGGGTGGTAGCTGGCACCACAGAGAGGACATTTCACCTCTGGCTTTCCTCGATAAATCGGCGTGTAAGTTGAAGCACATAGTGCGAACGGATTGTGCTCGTCATACAGCAGCTGTTGTTCATCAACTGGATTCTTGTCACAAGCCTGAATAATAAAATTAAATAAATTATTAAAATCACCAAATATCTTTAAAATAAAAATAATAATAAAAAAAAAAATAACTTACCTGAAGAATCTTTCTAACTTGTTGAGCAACTTCAGCTCTCGGTCCTAACTCGAGGAGCCGTCTGGCGAAGGAAGCGGTAGTTTTATAGTTCTTCAGCTTGAAGAATAAGTTAACAGCTGTTCTCAAGGTCAAGATTTGATGAACTGGCTGGAGATTGCAGTGGGTGAAGTAAGCAGCCATCTCGCAGACTCGTTTTTGCTCGGCGAGTGTTGCTTTAGGAGCATTTTTACGCTCACTCTCCATTTTAAGGCCAAGAATGTACTCCCGGCAAATCTGTATCAGCTGCTGAGCCTCAGCGATGTCCTGTCTGGTGTCAACAACCAACAGAGGAACGCTCAGAAGAATAGCCTGTAGTTTTTCAACAGCTTCTGTGAATTTACCACCAGTCGTCAGCTGGTAGCAGACTTGCAAACGTTGGACCAACTCCGTTAATTGAAGACCAACTGCAGGAAGTCCGGTTTTAGGGGTAGCGGTCTTCCAGTTGCGCAGCGGGAATCCGTTCAGCGAAGGAATGTTCGGTAAACAAGCGTAACTGGTCCTGGATCTTGCGAAGGTGTTTAGGAAGTGAGCTTGGTAAGCTTTAAACTCGGTAACACCGACTTGGTCATGCAGAAGACGGCAAGCAGTCTCAAAAGACCCAGCGAGAATATGATCTACAGCCAGCTGAGAGTTGTTGACCCAGTGATGAGACGGCGGGACTCCTTTCGTAGGAGCTGCAAAGTACCCGTCTTCAGCAGCAGCAACATTTGTCTCCAACTCCGGAGGTAAATCGACGTCCTCGACTTCCCACCCAGCACCACCTTCTTCCCCGTCTTCGCCAGCTTCACCACCCTCGACTCCTTCTTCGTCATCAATACCGAGTTCCTCATCATTGCCCCAGCCTTCGGCGACTCCAGTGTCATCTTCAGTTTCTACAGCAGCCAGAGCAGCAGCGACTTGGCTCTTTCCTCGCGACATCATCGCGCCTTCGAAGAATCCTTTAGAGACGGTCAACAACGGCCAATTGTTTTCTACCTGTTGAACTGGTACCAAAGGTCTCAGGTAAATAGCACCACGTTCCAGTTCCTGGAACTCATCGCCAATTAATTTGACCTGCTCTTCATCCTCTTCATTGGCAATTCCGTGAATCTTCTTGGTCACTGCGGCCAAAGAAGCTTGTCCAGCTTCTTTTAAAATTCTTGCGCGTTCATAGATGTCTCCAAGCAAAAGACTTCCTTGATACTGACCCGAGACGTCTTTACGGATTTCAGCAATCTTTGTCATCTTCTTCAGCTTGTCCAAGTTGCCAGTGAGCAAGTAGAGGAACGACAGCTTCTCAAAGTTCTTCGTCCGCTGGTAACACATCTCAACGACCTGGTGGTTGCCTTGTAATAACGCAGCTTGAGCGAGACTCTCCCAGCAAGCTTTCTGATCTAGAGTTCTAGCAGCTTCAAGAGCGACTTCGATGTTTCCACACTCCAAAGCAAGCCCAAAACGGGTCTTTTCGTCTTTTACAAAGTGTAGAGCCACTTCTGGGTAGCCTTTTTGCTGCAAGTACGCTATGATAGACTGTCCAACTAAATTAGCTGTTCTTACCATGTGCAAAACTTCCTCATACTTTCTGTTAATCAAAGCAAGCTTGAATTTGTACTCTGTAGGGTCGATTCTCAGGATCCTGGGTCTACATTCTCTGTCTAAACAGTAGACTTGATTGCCCTTGACACGTGTAACATAAATCGGTAAGTCCAGCGTTCGGATGATTCCATGATCGCCGGAGTTGATTGCGTACTTGATATGGTTGCTGGTTGTGTAAATAAAGACTCCCGAGTCGTCCCAGGCTCCGGACTTGACTCTCGTATTTTCAGAAATCGAGCAGAGAGACTCTAATTTACGATTGCAGATATTGACAGTGTGCTTTGATAGTAAAGCGACGTGTGACATGTCATTTGACCATACTACGTATCTGCATTTGGATATTCTGACCTCTGCAAGCTGACGTTTCTGCTGAACGTCAAACAGTATGACTTGGTCTGAGTCACGGAGCAACAGCATGCCAGTTCCAGCGTAGAATATTTCATCGCAGTTAGGAATCTGGACCTTCTTCGTAACTTCATTTTTAAGGTTTTTAATCACCAGCTGAAAAAAAAAAAAAAAAAAAAGTATTTAATTTAATTATTTTTCATTGAATTAAAATTAAAATAGAAAAATATAAATAATTACAGAGTATCCTCGATCCAAAACAGCAAAGCGGTTTCTTGCCACCCAGATAGCAGTAACACCAGAAGCTCTCTTTGTCTCAGGATCAGAGCTCGAGTCTCCATCCTTGGGAATCATATATAAATCATACGTGCTGTTTTCAATGTTGGAGGGAACTCTGGTGCAAATTAAAACCGCGTTTTCAGCCTGGTTGTAGGACATGCTGAAAGCTGGAGTTTTTCCTCCTCCACGAAGCTGCATCACTGCGGTGTCTTTCGAGGTCGTGAAATCCAATTTTCTCAGATACCTCTCCTTGACGTAGTAAAGAAGATTTCCATGAACAGCATAAGCCGGGCGCTCTCTCTCGAGCTTGAATATTATCATACCCGAGTCATGACCAGCTGCGAAGAGATTGAGCGTTGGATGAGCTGCAAGTACCCAGAACCGCTCGTGTTCTCTGCGGAATGTCTGGAGACACCCTCTCTTGGCCATATCCCAGACTCTGATGCTCTTGTCCTCGGAGTTGGACAGAATCAAGTCTTGACGCGGGTGGAACAGCACGCAAGACACGTTGTTGTAATGCCCACGGCAGGTGTCGACTTCCCAGGCCTTCATGTCAGTCATTCGCCACATCTTGATCTGCCGGTCGTCAGCCCCGGAAACAATCAATGGTAAAGTAGGATTGAAGCTGGCCCAGTTAACTCCTCGATCGTGGCCCTCCAGGACGTGTTTCACAACAGCATCAGCTTGTCCAAAGAGATCCGTGGCTCCAGGATTCTTGAGATGTTCCTCCAGACCTCCGGGACCAGGAGCGACGTTCTTCTTCCTCAGACCGGAGATGTCCCAAACTCTGACGGTCTGATCCAACGACGCGGAGACAATCATGTCTTCTGAGGGGTGGAACTGGGCGCACATGACATAGTGGTTGTGTCCGGTGAGCACACAAATGCATGCTCGGCTCTGCCAGTTCCAGATTCTGATGGTCTGGTCGTCAGAGGCACTCAGGATCCACGGGTACTCGTGGTGGAACACCGTGGTTCGGATGTAGTCCAGATGACCGAGTAAAGTGAAAATGCAGCGACGTTGCTTGTAGTTCCATACTTTTATTTTGTAGTCATCTCCTCCGGAGACGAACAGCGGCTGCTGGTTGTGGAAGCAAATTCCTCTGACTGGTCCATCGTGCTCGTCGAATTTCTCAAGCAGGGTGCACATTCGGTAGTCCCACAGCTGGATGACTCCATTGTGCAAACTGTAATGGAATAAATAATTAATTAAAAATATTTCAGTTGCGTGTGATGATAAATTGATTGAATTATTTCATTAGTTTCAGGTGAAATGAATTAAACTTATGCAGTCTTAGGCTGTAATTTATTGATAGTTTGCTAAATATCGATTATAGAAGTTTATTTTAATTTTAATGACTAAGATTTAGATTTATGATGTTTTATTGCTTTTATATTGACCATGAAGTCGCGATAACCAATCTCTGCAATAACTGTTGCCTCTGGATTTATTTTTTACGCAGTAGCTTTTGTTAATTCGTCTTAAGAACACGATAATTATTTATCAATCTTAAATATGTGGTCTATTTATTTGATATTTATTTCTGTAAGTTATTTTTTTAATTTATTTTGTTATTTATTAGAGAAAATTGTTAGAGCTGTCTGTGTTTGTTTGGTTGCAGATGCTAGCAGCCAGGGAGAGTCTTAGTGAAAATAATTTGAAGAAGAGACAAATTGTTTATCCACTATCACCAAACGTCTACGTACCATCAAACTTCTACGGAAATCCATTTGAAAAGAATTTTCCACCGGTTTATTACCCATCGAGTCATTACTTTCCAAATGAATTCGCGTATCGTTTGTTTTGGATCACGCCTGCACCAGTTCACGACGAAACAGCAAACCCTTTTATTAATTCTCGGGATAATTTTAACACGCCTGACGATAAAACTGGTGGTTCTGCTCGTAAAAGCGCTATTTCTGTGATTGTCGAGAAGAAAGAACAAAAGAATGATACTGATTCAGCGAGAAAGTCTGGTGGAGATGAAAAATTGAGTACCAATGTCACTGTTCAGGCGAAGCTGGATGACCGTAGCAATGATACGTTGGCAACTGGGCCGAGATTGGAAGTAGAAATCTCCAGTGACAACTCGACAGATACCAGAATTGAAAATAAAAATTCAACTACTGCCTGAGTTTATTAAATTTTTAATTAGTTTTATGTATTTAATTAAATTTGAATAAATTTTTTGAAAAAGTTTAATTTCTTGAATTTTATTGACAGAGCTAGAGCCCAACAGATTTTAGCGAAACTCTGAACTAAAAAATTCTTAAAAAGAGGTATCAATTTTTTTTGGAGATTAATTAGATAAATTTTAGGTAATTAGATGAGTAAGTAGTAAATATTTGTACTTTTTATTAAAATAAATAAATTATAATGTGAGGTTTGAAGGTTACCTTGCTAAAATCCACGGCCTTTTGGGATGAAAAGACAGCCCTTTGACACGAGCTGACTTTGTTTCAAATTTAGTCAGCATTTTAAATTATTTACTACTTAATTGTGTTTATTTTTATTTTATTTTTTTTTTCATACAACAGATCAAAACTTTTTATTGTTAAAAGTAATTTTTTAACTCGGCATTTGACACGTCACAAGTGATAACATTTCGTCTTTGACATATTGTGCTTTTAGCGCACTCTTCTGGGTAATTTAAACACTGGCTTGATAATACAGAAATTCAATAAAAAATATGAAACTCGTTCCACCTGTCAGAAAATATTTAAAGCTTGAAGAATTGTTTATCATCAGTGAAATTTATTTTGAAAAAAATATAAAATATTTTGCAAAATTTTAAAAATAATTTTTTTTTTTTCAATTATTTACTCCAAAATAGAAATAAAAATTTTATTTTTCATCACTTATAAATTTTTATAATTAAATTAAAGTATTCAATTATTTATATTAATTTAAAAATATTAGAATAAAAAAATATCAAATTACCACGTGTTTAATTTCTAAGAAATATATTGTTGTTACTTGGTAGATTCATTGTTAAATAATACGCGGTAGATAACTATTGGCCAAGTAAAGAAGTTACGCATGCTCCGTCGGGATTGGAGCTGAACTGTCAGGTGGCCTTTGTTGCTGTCAACATTTTACAAAATCCAACCTCTAACAATAACTATTTCACAATTATTAACTAATTTTTACACAGTATCCAGTTACAGATACAATTTTTTACTTAAAAGTTCTATTTTATAAATACAAACCTAAAGAAAATTTTTTTAAAAGTGTTTTGTCACTAATATGAAATATATAAAGTTTATTTTATTATTACTTACTCTGACAAGTTGCTTAATTATATACAGTACAGCTTCTCTGCAGCCGCCGACTGATGTAAAAGCCGAGAAACTTCGCTCTGAAAGACTTCCTGACTGTGCTGCCTGCAGAGTGCTCATTGAAAGTTTCCAAAAGGTAATTACAATCAATATCGTCTTTTTAACAATTAATTAATTAGTTTCTTAACTAATAATATTAATAAAAATATTACAGGGCATAGAAAAAACCAAAAGAGGCAAATTCGAAGGCGGTGACACGGCATGGGAGGAAGACAACCAGAAATCCTACGCCAGAAGTGAAGTAAGACTCACTGAAATCCAGGAGAACCTATGCAAGGATATAACCCGAGGTGAAATCCAGTGCCAGGAGTTAGCCGAGGACTTAGAAACCGCGATAGAAGAGTGGTGGTTCAAGCACCAGGACCTCCATCCAGATATCTTCGCTTATATTTGCGTGGATTTCACAGCCAGGTGCTGTCAGAAGGACCGGTGGGGCAAAGATTGCTCAGAGTGTCCAGGTTACCCTGACAATGTCTGCGGCAACAATGGAAAATGTCGCGGCGCTGGTACGCGAAAAGGCAACGGCACGTGTCACTGCGACAAAGGGTACACCGGAGAGCATTGCAGCGAGTGCGATAAAAAGTACTATCAATCTTACAAAGACGAGACGAAATTATTGTGCTCGAGTTGTCACGAGGCGTGTGTTGACGGGTGTACAGGTGCTGGCTCCGCGGACTGCCAGGGTCAGTGTAAAAAAGGCTGGGTCGTCGATCAGGAGAAAGGAGGCTGCGCTGATGTAAACGAATGTGTCAAGAGCGATAAATATTGTCCTGGCAATCAATTCTGCGTGAATAAAGACGGCGGATATTCATGTCTGAGTAAGTATCTGAGATTTTGATTTATCACCGTCATAAATTATTGAGTATGTGATTATTAACTGATGACTTGGTTGCAGAATGTGACCGGGCGTGCAACGGATGCATAGCAGATGGCCCAGACATGTGTGTCAAATGCGCCGATGACTACGAGAAGAAAGACAATATATGTATAAGTATGAAAGACGAACTGTAATTTTATTTAATTAATAAATAAATAAATAATTATTGTTAAATTAAACCGAGACTGTTCTTTTTAATGCAGATCCGGATATCCTCGGTCGTAAGCAGCGCGAGAATTGGGCGCGATACGCAACTTACTTTGGACTCTGCCTCGCAACTTACATTATCCTGCAGGGCAATGTCTATGCTGCTAGTGCTATTGGGTTGATGGTCGCACTCTACATATCTGTTTCCGAGTACATGATTGCTAACACTAATGTTCAAGACACTACGCCCAATGTTGACTTTTTACCGCCTACAAATTGAAATTAGTTCTTTTTTTTTTTTTTTTTTTATTAATTCAAACATTCCAAAGTTTTATTTTTAGTTGAGATGTGTGGAGATGAATTGTGTGGAAATTCTTGTACATTAGAAGTGTCTATAGATCTCATAGATCTGTATTTTTAGTTGTTTTAAACTTTTGTACATATTTTACAAGCACTCTGCTTATTTATTTATTGGATAAGTTTGAAATTTTATTAATATTTAATGAAAAATAAGTGGAGTTATTTTATTCTTCCAATTTTAATGAGATTTACAATTTAGATGATTAATTATTTTAAGAATGTATTTTGATTTAAATGAAAAAAATTAATCAAAAAGCTGAAAATAAACTCGGTGAATTTTTAATTTATTTTTTTTTAATCCAAATAAATTCCGCTAATATAAAAGTATATAATCTTGAAGATAAAAATCAGGTAATAAAGTTTTAAAAATAGTGGAATTGTTATCTAGAAAATCCAAAAGTACGGAGGCTTTTTGTTGACTATATTTTTATTTTATTTTATTTTATTGTGCCTTGCAGAGCGTAAGACCGAAATAAAAGACGGTAATCCCTATGGTGGTGCGATACTGGGTATCAGCATCAACAGAGCACAGGATAGGAAGAGGACAATGCCGTAAATGCGTGGAGAAAAAATAACCGAGAGCAGGAAACGGAGCGATTATTTAAAAAGTTTTATTTTTTAAAAGAACCAAAGGCGACCTCTAAGCGTCTGCGTAAAATAATACAATAGTTTTGGTCTTTTTTATATAATAATATATAAAAGTATCCCTTTTTGTTATATTTTTATACTTTTTTGTCTATTAGCCGTAGCTTTTAAAATAGCACAAGTTAGGGGTAAAATATCGTACCCAATAGTTTTGTCACGGGTTTTCAAAAATCCTTCCTTCCTTCCTTCCTTCCTCTGCAGATATTTCGAGGATAGGGTGATCGTCAATGGGATTTCTCGATTTTTTTATCCCATGAGGGGGACAAATATATATAACATAATGGATAATGGATAACCCATGCAGCCGCTTACTCGCTCCACCTTTATCTCTCAACTCTCTTTTTTATTTTTTCATAAAAGTTTCAACCAGGAACCAGCACACCCCTCTCGCGCTGCGGGTTACCCCCTTGGCCCCCGACCATTGTCACCATTTTTATATTTTTTACCAACGCACTCTTTTTTCAAGAGTCTTTTTCTCCAAACGGGGTTAAATATTAGGCAGCTCTTGCTCAGCTAGGCTCCAAGGGGGCCAATCGATGCCCAATAAAAAGTATTGCGTAGAAAATCGGAAATATAGATTACTCTTAAAGGTAATAGTAAGGGGAGGGCGTTAAATTTACGCTCTTCCTCAATATCAAATTTTATAACGGACTTTTATTGTAAATTATAAAGTAAACTATAAAGTACTCAGGTATATACTCAAATAAAATCTGTTAAACTTTATTACCTGGCAATTAAACTGTTGTATATTTAACTAGCAGCCGCTGCATAAGTTTTTCATTTGAATATTTAAGCGGGATTTAAAATAAAGATAATGAATAATTAAAATAAAAATTAAAGCGACTTGTATGGTATGAAATATGAAATATTAAATAAAGTGAGATTATTAAAATATTAATTTAAAAGTGATATTACATTAGCAAGCTTTTTGAGATGGAAGTTATATATATACGAGCCGCGAGGAGATGAATTATCAATTCGGTATCCGGATTAAGTCTCGGCGTAATTGTCACACATTTAAGCATTGCGAATAATGTCTATATCCATTTGACAATTTTGAATAGACTGACAGCTGCTCAAATGATGTTTCACGGAATTGAATAATAGTCTGTATTCTGCGCTCTGTACTTTGGATTGAGGGAGAAAGAGATTGTTGCACTGCGAGAGATGGATATGGATAAATAGGGATAGCAAGCTTCTCATATTCTCACAACCTTACAAATTATGCACACATCTCACACCGCAAGAAGTACATATCCTTACTCAATCCTCAAGGTATATAATTTCAATAATACACACGTTACTCCATGATTATAATTATGTTTTTGTAATTCGATTTCACGGGGCACTTCTTGATTAACTTTATCCCGCAATCATGTCAGTTATATTTCAATTTATCTAATTACTAATAAATTTAATAATCCGATAAGTTTAATATAAAAAGGTTCTTTTTTATTATACTTTATCTTATCAAGTCAATCATTTAAATAATTACGATTAAAATAGTATATTTTATCCGGGGTTGTAAAAAATTATACATTAAATTTTTTAATTTAATTTTCCAATGATATTTTAAATTAAAAAATCAAATTCAATAATTAAGAAATTTAAATCATTAAAAATTTAAATTTCAATAAAGACTTATCAGATTTCCGCTCGAGTAAAAAAAAATTTTTATTTAAATATTTGAATGTTTAAATAGAAAGTAATGAGCATATTTGATTATGAGAAGAGTATCGAGCTGATGGCGATTTAAAATAGAGTTTAGCTTCCGGCTTGATGTTGGTTATGGCCACGTGACAAGGATAATTAAATTATCAGAATCAATTGTCAAAAGCGTGAGTGTTTTCGTCTGTCGTCGGAATTTAAAGTGTAATAGTTTATATAGCTATTTAATTCGGCGTATAAACTGGACACGTTGATTTTGTGACGTCCACACGCGATTCGTTTCTATATTTATGCATTAGGGGTCGCAACTGGCTAAATTGATAGGTGAATTGAAAGGTCCGGCATTATGAATTAATAATGACATAATGGTTTATAATTTAGGAAAGGAAGGGCTGCTAAATGCTAGATCGAGTATTCCAGTTACAGTTTAACTCTATATATCTCTATCTATATCTATAGTACACCTATCTATCTATCTATCTCGAATATACCCAGAATAGGAAGAGGAGGAGGTAGTTGAGAATAGATAAAGGTAGGAATATATAAGAGAGAAGGGGTGGATGAGTTGGGTTCGATGATGAGTTAAGGTTCTGAGGGAAAGGGGTGAGCATAGCAGATAACTGATTCGAGGGACAAATGCATATTCCAAGAGAGGTTGAGGGTTCCAATGCATATTCGGTGACACCGAGTGACAGTGATGGTCATTTATTATTTAAAACATCTCCAAGTCTCGAGTATATCATACAGATGCAATGCTATTATTTTATAGAGTATATTCCAGCCGATGTAACTCTGAGTAAAGTACATACCTTGTAATGATATATACAGAATGGAATGTGTTGGTGGAAAGTGACACTAGCATCGTCATCATCCGATTGATCGCGAGTAGTAGGAAAGCATAAACCATGAGGTAACAACTGAACCGTCGCGACGACCCTGTTTATTTAAGTTACGTCCTACAAGTCTTACACTATTCAACAAAGTCAATGAACTTTCTGTTCATCTATTATTTATTATCGATGAATATTTTGTCCTTTAATTCCCCGAATTGTTAATGGGCAGGCTATTAAGAGAGTTAATTATTGAGAGCGAAGTTCTGATTTTTTATTTACCAGGAGGAAGGGTTTTGATAGAGGATGGATTTTAAGTTTAGCTGTATTATGATTCGAAGCTGTCTGATGTGTGTCCGAGAAGTTTGAGGGATTAAAAATAAACTGATAATAGAGCTGATGGTTTGTAGCTTGTACATTTCAGACAAATCGTGTTCACGTCTGTTTAGTTTTGATGTGTGTATAAACTCGCGGGAAACTCTTTTCTCCCTGCTTGTTTCCGTCATCGTTAGGAGGAAAGTTTATGGCGAATTGTGCTTCGCTTGCAGTTTCGGCTCAAGAATTATTTAGAGCGATACGAATGGATCCAAGGAGCCGGGGAGGAGATGGTGACTACAAATCGAGGGTGAAGTCCGGGCAGTTTATTCGTTCGTTAGACAAGTGGAGGTTCGCTGGGGTTTATTTTTTGTTGCGTACTGGGGTAAATGGGATCTGATTCTGGTTATTCAATAATTTTTCAGGTGTTAAGTGTCAAATTAAGAGTTTGTAGATTTTTTTTTAGAGAATGTATATCCATACTGGAAATTAAAAATAAAAATATTAGTTTTCAAACTTTGTTTTGTTATTAAAATATTTATTGAATATTATTCCATACAATTCAATGTAAATTTTTTTTTTATTATTGTTTGAAATCATTATTATAATTTTAAAGAAAGTTGCATTTTAAATTTAAGTATTTATTTGAGTCAATATGTAATTTATAACTTGCCGACAGAGGGCTAAAACGACAAAGTATTTTCCTAACAGGAGAGTTAGATTAATCTTTTATAAGCAAATTTTTTTTCTGGAGTAGTTGCAATATTCAATTTGAAATATATATCTATTACAATTTTTGACAAAGCTTACAGAGAAGGGGGGCTTTCTTAATAATATCAAAAATAATTTCTACAACACTTAAGAAGATTAAGTAACGCAAGTAAAATTTTTTAAAAATTTATTTAGATAATTACATAATTTATTTCGCCTGCAAATAATGATAGTGAATTATCGTAATGTTGTAAATTTAGATTAATAACAATTACATTTTTTATTTGATAATAATTAAAAAATAGAGTAAGACTCAAATTGCCGATAGATGGCTAAAACGACAAAAGATTTTCCTATGAAGAGAGTTATAATTTATTTTTATAAGCAAAATTTTGTCGAAAAAAATTTGCAATATTCAATTTGAAATGTATATCTATTAAATAATTTTTGAAGCAAGCTGCTACTCCCGTAGCTCCAAATTACTTGAAAAAAAAATTTTTTTACAGGAAAAATAAAAATTAATCGTTTAAAATATCCCTTTAGTTGTAAAACTAATTTTTTTATTTAAAAATTAAACGATTTGAAAGTTTAAAGTATCAGGAGCACATAATGCATGTGAAGTTGAAGTCAGAGCGGAGCGAAGTAAAAGCGCCTGCAGCGAGCCGCGTGGATCTGAACCAACGACCTTTTTCTTATTCTATATAAATGTTCTAACGTAACCAGCAAGCCAGCATCCTACACACAAGTGTCT